TGGAACACGCGGACAGGTGGCAGTTAGGAAGTGGTCCTTGTAAAAGCTGGCTCTTGGATCCGAGAAGGTGGAGGAGTGAACAAGCCTGCTGCTGTTCCATGTTCTGTTCCTGATCTGTTTGAAAGCAGTGTAAATCTCCCACTTACTTTTGAAATCTGTGGCTCAAGTAGAGAAGAATCCAATTTAGACTTAGTCCTGTAGTTACCTTAAGTCTTGAAAATTCCAGTTTCCACTGCTGTCAGCAGAAAGAGCAAAACTTCTTCACTGTATGCAGAAGCATGGAAGGTATTTGCAAACAGGCAAAGAAAACCTCAGAGCTCAACCCTGAAAAACAGTACAAGATAGACCAAAAGCTGAATTCCTAAATGCTTATCTGAGGAGGATCAGTTCATACAACTCCCTGTTTTTCAATTTGTTATTGCCAGAAGTGCTCTCAGAGGAGCTGTTGCAGTCACTGTTGTGGTGGATATGGTATCAGTTTAACAGCTGGTTTCTCAACCCCATCTTTTGCTGTAAATACTAGTTCATGTTTGTCAGTTCTTTAAACAGGGAACATTTAAGTGAAGAGAAATAATGTATTTTTCTGTGCTGTGTCTTGCAGGATCGAGTGACATTCAGAAGAATTATACTGAAAAACAACGCAAAGAAGAGAAAGACATATGAATTATTTATTGAGTCGGTGCCCCTTCTCAAATCCTTGGAGGTAAAGCTTCTCAGAGACATCCACATCAAATTCTTGCATTAGCAGTAGCTCCACACTCACTGTTTCTGCTACGTCAGAAATCTGTATGACTTTTCCTTAGAACAAAATATTAAGAGCTCCTTTGGTATCACATTTATTACACAACTTAATTTTCATTGTTGAAGTTGTACATTGCTTTTTTTTTTCCAGACCCTTTATTCATCATAAGCAATTTGCTGATTTTTATCTGTCTGATTTTTTAGAAAAATCTTTCCACAACCCTCCTTCTCCCCTCTAAACAAAAAAAAACCCATGTACACAAAGTGCAGATTGAAACTCAGGGCTGTGGTTTCCTTTGAGGGTGAGATGTTGAAGTAATGATACAGTCATTGGGATATTTGGCCTTATCAGCCATGAATGATTTTAAATTTGAGACAAAAGTTGTGGGATGTCGTAGGTTTTGCTTTAATCTTAACTGATATTCAGGAGGTAAATTAAGAACAGGCTAAAGGAGCTACCTGGGGACACAATGACAGGTGTCACAGAGTGTGTGGGGCACAGCTTCAGGAACAACTGCCAATTGTCACTTCTGTTGACGCAACCTGTGTCTTCAGAGGGCTCTTGGAACCGACCAACCTGCTTTGACATTAGAATGTGTCTGCCCTTGCCTTACACCATAATTTAGCTTTTCTTTGTGTTCTCATGATAAAAAATCTTTCTCATCATTTATCTGTAGTATTTGAGAAAAGCTCTTAATCCCTTTGGGAGAAGATTACAAAATTGCCAAGTATCATTAGGTGTGAATAACAACCTCTAGTACAAATGATTTTGGACATATATTGTAGCTGTGGAAGGGGTAAATTACACAACACTTTCTTCCTCAGTGCCTGGCTTAAACTGGTTCCATCAATGTGACTGTTTTTTTCTTGAGAACAGAAATGACTCAAATATTTAAAGATACAGAAAAATAACTCATTAGCACTGGAATGGCTTTTTGTATGACACACTGCAGTTGAATCATGCATGGACCAGATTTTGATTTCTCAAACATAGGCAAGATTAAGGTGCATTTGGGGAATGAATGGATTGATTACAACTGAATCATCTGTTGAATTTTAACAGTAGAATTTTCTTCCTTTCTTGGTATGTTCTTTTATGCTGCTCTGAAGCAATAAAATTGTTTTGTGGGATTCTAGATGGGCTGTGGGAAACACTGGAGATAATTATAGCTGTTCTTTTTCTCCTTCCTGATTATGAAGAGTCAAGCTGTTTTGTGGCATGTCAGATAGTGCCTCCTGCCCTTGCTGCTGGACATCCTGGCTGCAGTGCCTGCTCATGCTTCACAGCCCTTGTCCTTTACATATTCCCTTCCTCCCCACACTAGGAATGAGTTTTGGGACAAACCCTGCCCCGTACATATTCAAGTATAAAGTGATTAAAATATTTTGAAATTATGTTGCTGGTGTTTCTCATCGAAGGTAGTTTATGACATTCTTCTGAGTGCTTTCTTCAAATTTCAACTGAATATTTAAGGAAGTGATTTCCCCTCACACCTGCCTTGTTGCTCTAAACAAGCCAAATCAATTATATTTTAACTTTGCAGGTAAAAAAAGGACAGGGATGGAACATTAACAAATTTTCTTTCCATGTTGATTATGGTATCTTGGGAACTGTGTTGAGTACTATGACGATATCATTTTGGGGCTATACTTATAAATTGTGTGTTTGTGTGTCTAGTGAATGCCTCTTCATTTCAGGAGAGGTTGTAGAGATTCAGGAGAGTTCACAGAGATGAGCTATAATTGATTATTGTTTCCAATTTTCCTCTTTGTTCCAGGCATCAGAGCGAATGAAGATAGTGGATGTTATAGGAGAGAAAGTGTACCAAGATGGGGAACGTATCATTTCTCAGGTACTTGAACTCTAAACTTCTCTTTATCATTCTCCTTTCTCTGCTTCCTTTTTTTCTGTGTGGAATTGACTTATAGAATCTTATTACTTGGACCAACTTGGCACTTATTCTTTAATACTTCCAATTTATTTATTTATTCACTTCTTGAATGTTTGGGGGATGGACAGTGTGTGTTTTGCTGCAAATTTATTCTACTACTTTAGTTTCTGGGTCTTTCTTCTCTTACCTGTGTTTTCTAAATGGTCTTTGCAAGGTTTCAAGAGGAGTGTGCCTTCAGGAGCTGAAATTATCTGCCTATGCAGTTTTCCATGAAAGCCCCCAGCTAGAAATTTCCTAGGCCCCTATGACCAGATCAAAAAAGGAATCACAAGCACGTAGTAAAGGCATCTCTAATGCCTAGGTCTGACTGAACAACAGAAACAAACAATTCAACATGAGTATGGTTTGAATGAAAATAAATGAAGTCATTGGAACGTTTACCTGGCTGGACCCAAACCAGTTTCCTATTCTAAGAACTGTCAGGGTTAACTAAACCCACTGTTTTTCTTGATGCTTTTAGAAAGAGTATTTCAGTGGTGTGGTCTGGCTCAGATGACAGCCTGTGGTGGTTGGTGTGTGTTTTGTCTGCTGCAACAGATCAAGGCTGGAGTGGTGGAAAATGAGCTGTAGAATTCGAGCTCAAGCTGTGTGGGGTTTTTTTTGGAACACTGTTACTGATGAAACAACGGGATTTTGTGTCAAGTTTAGCTTAGGGTTGCTGTGTTGCAAAAGTGCTGTAGTTAAGTAGAATTTAATTTAAGAAAGTCCTTGGCTTACCTGGAATTGCAGGTTTTTGGTTACAACCGTTGTTCTTGTTTTATAAACAGAATATGACTCCTTGATAACGTCTTGAATAATTAATCTTAATTACTTGCAATGTCAGATAACTGGATGCAGGAAACTTTAGTTTGCTGATAACTGAATACTGTTAAATTACTTATCTCCAAAAATACCCTCAGTTTTGTAAGTTGAAACTCTTGTTGCTTAAGACTCTGAGAAGACTGAATTCTCAGCAAAATCAGAGCTTATAAATCAGTCTCAAAACTGGGAACTCACACCATCAGTGATCCAATTACACAGTTGGTTCTAATCTTTTGTAATAACTGAATTAAGGACAAGGATGTAATTATACTTAAAAGGAGGATTAATAGTCTGGATAGGTCTGGTAGTACACTGCTAGAGATGATGGAGTTCTAAGCTTGGAAAAGATGTGATAGCTCTTACACTGCAGCACTTGCATCCATTCCACAAACCCCTTTCCCCCTTTTCTCTTGTGGATAATTTTGCATTTTAATTACCCTTCTGGAATTTGGCCCTTCATTTAAGGGCAGTAAGCTTTAAAGCACTTGAAAATTGTTAGTATTGTTACGAGGATGTTTCCCACTCAGTTTATTTCCATTCTTTTAGAAAAACTGTTATTTAAGTACTTATTCTTTCAGAAGTGTGCTGGGAGTATTAGCTCATGTTGTGATAGATGGCAATGGTGAATGAAAAGCTTTGCACTGGATGACTTATGACCACCCCCAGGAAGCTCAGCTAAAGACCTAATTTATTCTGTAACTCCGTGTTTAAATCTTGCATCATTTTCTCCCAGCCCATGTTTCACACTTGGGTTGTAACTACCTCCATCCTTTCCATCTCATTCATCATCTGCTTGCCCACTTGACTTAATGTCAGATTTATCTCTCTTATTTCAGTTTTTTTTGCTGAGCTGCTGCCATTCCCTTATCAGTTCTTTTTCCAGCCTCTGTCTCCCTGAAGCCTTTAGTCCCTTTGCTTGTGATTTATAGCAGGAGGCATGTGCTTGATCTCTGCTCTGACTTCCAGCCCTATGCCAAACCCACAGGGGCTCATACAGAGAGGGAAAGTCCTCTCTGTTACAGGTGAAACTTTCAAATTAGGTGCTGGCAAAGCTCTCCAGAGCAGATGTAAACTGGGATCTGCTGAAGGTTTGCAGTGGAGTGGAGATTGAGAGATGTGAAGAAGGTTCTAGAAACTCACAGAATTGCAGAATGACTGAGGTTGAAAGGGAGCTCTGGAAGTCACCTTGTCCAAACCCCCCTGTTCAAGCAGGGCCACGGAGAGCCTGTTGCGCAGGACTGTGTTCAGATGACTTTTGAAGATCCCAACGAACAGAGAATTCAGAACCTTTCTGGGTGTGCTTGGTCACTTTCGCAGTGACTTTTTCATAGAAACAGCTGGATTGGACTAAACCACAGTTCTTTAATTCAACACCTTGTGGTATCTTTCTAGAACTTGATATAAAATGGCTATCAGTTTTTATTTTCTCCAACCTGCCCCGATGTGACTGATTTTCCATTAATGGTGTGATGCTGAGTGCTTTATTCCTTATCGTTCTCACTACATTTGTGGAGCCATTGCATCATTCCTCATGTAGATGGCTTGCATTGTGGATTTGCCTTTCTGTAAACTATCCTCCTCTTCCTTTCTATGTTTGTGCTCCTCAAATGCAGCTATTCTTGATTCTTCTATCTCCTGCTATTTTACCATGAATTGACTGAGCTCATACTTAGTTTAATGGATCTTTTTTTGTGCTGAATCTAGAAACACAGTCACTAAATCGGTGTTTTATTAAAATTTGCCTCTGAAAATTCTAGACTCTGCTTAGTTTCACAACTGGCTACTTCTGTCAAGATCAGAAGGTTTGCACTTACGTGATTTTGCTTTATATCATCAATCTCCTTTGTGTTTCCCTTTCCTCCTGCCCTCACACTGGATGACATGCACTAATAGTTACTTCCCTGTGGATTCCTCTAGGTATTACCCAGTCACCTTTTAATGTCAGGAATTTGAATATTTGTCAATTCTAGCAGATCTCTGCACAAGGCCTAGTTCAAAGTGAATGAGTTAATACCATTTATACATACTTTCACAGTCAAGTGAAAAATAATTTATTTTACCTTTTCCTCTTCACAGGGCGATAAAGCAGATTGTTTTTACATTGTAGAATCTGGTGAAGTAAAAATCTTGATTAAAAGCAAGGTGAGTGCAAATTGAATGATTAAGCTTTAGGTCAATCCCTTATTTGATTGATGAGTACAAGAGATTTGAAAAAACCTACCCTGACTTATTTTAATATATTATTTTGTGATGTTTATCATCATTACTCATGTGATGTATGTTGTAATTCCCATACCTGAAGTTAGTTTACTGAAGTAGGAAAGTCTTTTGCTGCTCTGCAAACTAACCTGACAAACTCTCCCTGGCCTTAAGGGTGGAGATAAAACTGTTCCTCTGTCATTACAGAAAGCTGTAGCTTAGAAAAAGTGGGGTCTGTTATCTCTAGTGACATACTGGATGTCGGCATTTAAAGCAGCCTTGGGGAACAGCTTGTGGTAGATGATAAAGGCTGTGTTAGGTTAATTTAACAGTAAATACCTGCCAGTCTCAACACTTGTGGGCTGGCACATGCTCTTCTTATTGTGGTGTTGAGGTGTTTGACCAGCACAGGCTTGGGAATCGCTGGGTTAAAGGCCCTAAACCAATGAGCTGTTGCACGTGTGTAAGGTGTGTGGGGTGAACTGCAGCCTTGTACAAGGACAGAACTGTGCAAATAATGAAACTGCACTGTTTGACAGACTATGACGAGTAAAGAAGCTAACCAAGAAGTGGAGATTGCCCGGTGTCACAGAGGGCAGTATTTTGGAGAGCTTGCACTTGTTACCAACAAACCCAGAGCAGCCTCTGCCTATGCTGTTGGGGAGGTCAAATGTTTAGGTAAGCAGATGTTCTGTGTTTCCAATTACCCTTTTCTGGTCTTTGCTTGTCTCATGGACCATGCCTGAGTGAGCAGCTATTCAAAACCCAGCAACCTTTTGCTGACTGGCAGTCAGACACCAGAAGCCAGGGGCAGGGGCTGGAGCAGGGCTGCACATGGAAGTCAGAGAAGCACCTCTGCTTCCTTATGGCAGATTCTCTATTTTCTGCGTGTTGCATGTACTCTCTGAAGGGCATTGGCTTCTTGTGTACAGCTTGTTTGTCACACACACCCTTCAGGTGATCTTTTAATGCCAGTGTGGGACGTATTTTGCTTCTGTATTTGTCCTTGAGGTCAGGTTTGTATTTCATTAATTTTGTTTCTACAAATAACAGTACAGAGGGAAATCAGAGACATGATTTCTATTCCTGACCTGAGTGAGTTGGACTGGAGGTCTGTTCTGAATTCAGAAACCAGATGAGTGTGTGGTGTCCTTTTTGACAAATGATAGTGTTTTCACCTCTGTTCCTTTGCAGTCATGGATGTGCAAGCGTTTGAGCGGTTGCTTGGACCCTGCATGGACATTATGAAGAGGAATATAACACATTACGAGGAGCAACTGGTGGCAATGTTTGGCTCTAGCATGGACCTATTGGATCCAGGGAATTAGGCACAGGGTACCTCAATGCCTTCTTAGTTCAAGACACAGAAAAGCCTCCTATCAGCAACACAACTCACAAGGACAACGGACACTATGGAACAGTTACTGCTGCTGTTTTCTTGGGCATTTTAGAAACCATAAGTCTCAGCACAGATGGATTGCTCACTCCCTGCCTCCACTTTGCTGCTGATACTTCATTATTAGACCTAGATTAAAGATGATTCTAACCCTATGTTCACTTACTTGGTTCAGAATGGCATCTGTCCAACAGTTCAAGTGCCTGATACGAAACCCAAAGTGTGCAAGATATAGAAGCCTCCTTCCTTCTGGGTGTTACTGTTGGGATAAATTTTCCAATCAGATTCTGTAGTGGGAGGTTGCCTGTTCTGCAGAGGCAGCCCGTGGAATACAATCCGTTCATGGGCTTATTACCTTCATACGATGCTTTCCTTACACAATGTCAAATTCGCTTTTAATTGTAGCATCTGGTTTTGAAGTTAAAGTATCAATGGAGCCAGTGAATAAGATGGCACTGAAATTTCTGTCCACCTGCTGAAAGTGGCAGGTACTAAATAGCTCTTTAAACCAAGTAAACCGATCTGGGGACATGGGAGAGTCTGCTTAGCATCCGAATGCAGAAAATGAAGCATTACTATATTTTAAGTGTTTTCTGAGCAGCAAAGACAATTGTTTTACTCTATGCTGCCCAAAAAAGTGCAGTGGTTCAGATCAAATGGCCTGAAAGTGTCATAATTGTCATCTCCCCAAACTTGTTCCTTGTTCCCGACACTGAGTACATTTTATGGTGGTGAGATCACAACGTATGACCTTCTCTTGCTTACAGAAATCCTTTATACTGCTAGATTTCCCAGGGCACAGTTGTTGACTGGGTCAGTTTTAAAGCTTTTTAAGGAGGTGAATGTTTTGTAATTTAAATGAAGACTACTTCTGTACTTGTTTACAGGAGCTTCCCCCAGTCCTAACATTTCACAGTATTCTAACTTCATTAGACACTTGGATGCTTCCAAATACCATGTTGATTTGCTAAACTTTTCAAAAGTTGGCAACATTTGACTTTGTGAAGCAAATGTCTTTGCTAACTACGCAGTTGGTGTGTTTGAGGAGTCTTTTTGGTCTAGGTGATAACTAAGCTAATGATGTTTATCTAAAATACTTGTTAAATTTGCAGCATTTATTAGGTAGATTCTGTTTCTATAGCTTTAATGACCTTAATTGGCATATGGCTGAGATTTTATCAAGAGTATTATCTAAATAAGAATCAGACCATAAGAAGGACATTTTTATGGTGTACAAACAGAATATTTATATTAAGACATTGATTTTGGAGGTAATAAATCTAGTGACCCTTTGAATTTGCATTCTTCCGCTGCTCATGCAAAACATACTGGTGTTCTATGGGGTTATAAAATTTAATTGTGGATGCTAGTGTAACAGAACCTGCTCTTTTTATTCATGGCCATGTGAGCAAGAATGGAAGGATGCTAATCTTGAATTCCTGCTTTTAGTTATCACAGTGGACGTTTCTCTGAGGCACGAGATGCTTAGCAGCAACTCTAAGTTGATTTCTGGACACTTCCCTCTCCCCACCCCCCCAAATGGATTTTCCTCCCATTTCCTGCAACATGAGCAAGATGGAAAGTTGATCAATTTGAATGGCTGTTGTCCAGTTACTGTAATTTCAGTCATATTTTTATATAATGCAAATGATTTGTAATGGACACCACTGATCTCGGTGTTTCCATATTATTAAAGTCCTGGTTGTGATGTCTAGTGGCTGTTCTAACTGCATGTATTTTAGAACAGTGAATTTCCCTTGCTTTCCTGGGCTGTTTCTTTGTCATAAATTACAGCCAAAGAAGCAGCAAGTACTTCTCATTCATGCTTCCAAGGTTTAACACCAAAGACAAAAGTAATTCTTTTGATTACAGAATTAAAAAGCAAACAGACCCTCTAATAAACTCAAAACAAGCCAACAAAAAACCCACAAAAAACCAAGAAGAGATGAAAAAACCCACTCATCAGGTTCTTGCAGTGATAACAGATTTAACTTTAAGATTCTTTGGGCTCCATGACAAGCGTCTTTCTGAAGCCAGCTCGTGACTGTCCTGTGAACCAGACATAAACTGTTCTCTGAACGAGTGTGAGTTTCTGTGCTGCCTAAACTGTCATGTGAACTAAACAGACAATTGCTGTGAATAATCACCAGCTGGCCTTTGTTGCTCCCAGGCAGAATATCCTCTCTTTTATCCAGAGGAGCCTGGCAGGTTGGGCTGCCTTACAGATGAATTTTGGTTCTTACAGCCTTTGGTTCTCTTGCAGGACAGGACTGTAACCTCAGCACAGGCAGACATGGGCAGTTGTTCTGAAGCTTAACCAAAAATCAGGCGAGGCTGATGTTAGATTCTTGAGATATTTCTGCCTGGAAGGGAGGATTTGATGGCTTCTGGAAGTGAAAGGATAATATGAGAATTTAAAATCAAAAATTGGGATCCCATGTGAGCAAGAACAAGCGTTTGAAGTTTTGCCTTTCTCTGGGCTCCCTGGAGCAAAGGCACAGTGGGCAATGCCATCCTGCACCCAGGGTCTGTGCAGCAGAATTCCATGGTGTAGAGAGGCAGCTGACCTTGAGCTGAAAGAGAACGTGCTACTAAGAAAGCTCATCCATTTAAGAGCTGTAATGTGCAATATGCCTGATTGATGTGGTTTAACCAACCTGTTCTGTACAGTTTTGGAGCATGAAGATAGTGAGAGAAGCTTTAGTAAGATACTCAGTATTGGCAGGAATCTGGTTAGAGCACCAGCAGTGAGCAAAGCTGGAAGGTGTGAGTGGTGATACCAAGTCCACGGAGTGAGTGGGAGTACCTCTTTGTGACCATCTGCCCCATCCCTGTATTCAGCTCGTTCCTTTTCACTTTGTTCATTGCAGTTGTTGTAGAGAACAAGCCCAGGTGTTTTGTTACCACTCAGTGTTCAGTAAATCTGCCATGGAGTCTCTGAAATTGGCACTAGAGAGAGATCTAGTTTTTAATAAAAGAGCTCAGCAGCAAAGTGGGCACAGAGGATCATGTCTTCAAGGCCTAGAGAAAGACAAGTCTCCTGTTTGTGATTCCCTGCTTGTGATTGTGGTGAAGTCAGTGAGAGGAGCTTTCAGTGGTCAAATATCCTGGCATATGGTATTTCTGTCTAATGTCACAGCACAGGTAAAAGAACAAAAAAGGGCAAAAGTGCTCTATTTTTAGAAACAAAAGTGCAAAACTTAAAACTTTAAAACAAAACTTTAAAAACAAAGTGCAATTTTGCACAGAGGGCAACAAAACCCCAAATCCCTTTGAATGTCACTTCCATTCTTTCTTTTTTTAGTTGGCTGAAAGCAGACTCTTGTTCTTGACATGTATTTGTAAACTAGTCTTGCCAAAATACAAACACGTTGGGTTTTTTCACTCCAGATGATTTTCGTTGTTACGGTTATTGCTGATCATTTTAGCTTTTTTTCAAACCGTGTATTTTATTTCAAGAGGCCTTCCCTGAGGATTTCCTCCTGGAGCTCTGCAGCACTCCACTGCTATTTTGAGAGACAAGAGGAAGTCACTAACCTCACAGGAGACACTCAGCTTAGCTGGCTGGAGCTAATAATGCGCTACTAATTTTCCTCTGTGGGGCAGGAGGGGAATTGAATTCTGCATAAAGTTGCTACCTCAAGGCTCCAAGTGCTTTTAAAGGTCTTTCACTTGGGAGAATTTATTAAGACAGTTCTTAAAATTAGTCTGTTCTTTTGAGTTAAATGTTTTTTTAATTAATTCATTGAGGGACCCTTATTTTAATTCATTTTACTTTTAGTACTTGATTCTCAAAGGATGAGCAGCTGCGAAGTTTGGTTCTTGCACTGTAGTGTTGAACATGAAAGAAAAATATCTGCCAAAAAAACCCATATGGTTTTAACAAGTTAAACCACTCTGGGGTTCAGCTTCACTTTTGGTTAATAAAAAACTGACCTGTTGTGTCCAGCCTTCCTGTACAGTCCTGTGTGTGCTCGTTATTGACTCACTGCAGCTGACACAGCCCCAGCCTTACAGCAGCTCCCTGGATGCACTCAGGGTGCCTGAGGTTCTGTAGCTTCTGTTGCCAGAGCCTCATGGGGAGCAGCACTCGCCCTCCTGCAATAACCAAAAGAGATTTATACAGCACCTGACCTCCAAGTTTTGCTGTTTGGCGATAAAATTTTACTAACATCTAAAAAATAATACCATCTTCTGTGGGTATTGTTGGTCCTAGTAAAATTGACTACTCTGATTAAGTCTGCCAGATTATCATAGAACTGATTTATTGAACATTGCAGTAACCAGTTCTTGGTTCCCACAAGAAACGTTATATTCCTGAAGGTCTCTTGTTGGTCTGCATTTACATCTACTGAATTTTATAGCTGCCTTTTATTTAACCTAACTAACAACCTGAAAACTGCTTCGGTACATGTGAAATAATACTTGCTTTTGCTGAAATATTTTTTTCTGAATGTTTGGTGTTTTATGTACAGTTTTTAAGTTAGTCTGGGAGTGGAGTTCAGGTGGATTGTTGTGCTAAACCTGAGAAAGCTCTGGTGGAATAACAGGGGGACCTTTGCACAGACTGAGCAGTGTGATGGCAAAGGCCATTGGTGTCCTTTGAGTCTGATGACTCAAACCCATCAGATCAGGCTATTGCAGTGTTACCCTGCTGGGGTCCATACCAATTCCTGGGTAAACCTTTCTGTAAAAGAAGGAAGGTTCTGTGAAGTTCTTTTGCAGGGGCTAATGTTTCATCATTTCAGCAGAGCAGAGATTCTGCCATCCTTTCTGCTGTTTCTCTCCCAAGGACATATTTCACACCGATCTTTAGATCCAGGTACAAGGTACTAAAATTACGTTATTTTATCTCCTCAAGTAGGTGTTGAGCTGCCAGCAAATCTGTTTCAGCTGCGTGTACTGCAAAGCAGAGGCTGGGATAACACAATGCCTTCAGTGTTTGTGACCTGTCACGGTGTCAGGCATCGCCTTCACCAGGACGGCGCTGCCTCGGGAACTGCATCGTGACCACCACGCTTGTTTGAAGGGGAAGCGAAGGAGCATCTCTGCGTGCCGCTCTCCCAACGGCGCAGTGCAGCGCTCGATATTTGCCTTTCCAAAGATAAAACGTCGCGTGTAGCGCTTGGAAACACCGTCTGTTCCCGCAGCTTCCCCGAGATCCCTGTCCGACCCAGACGCCGCCCGTGTGCCGGGCTGCGCTCGGCTGTCCCCTCACGGCGCGCCCGGGGCTCGGCGGGGCCGCGCGGTTGCCATGGCGACGCTGAGCGCGCGCGGCCGCCGCGCGGAAGGGGCGGGCGAGCCACCATTGGCCGGGCGGGGGCGCGCGCCCAGGGGCGGGGCCGGGCCGGCCATGGCGGCGCGCGCGGAGCCGCCGCCGGCAGAGTTCGAGCGGCGCGTGCTGCGGAGCGCGGCCCCGCACCACTATCTGCGCGTGCGCCTGTGAGTGCCCCCGCACACCCCCCAGAGCCCCCGGCCCGCCCGGACCCCCCCCCGACCCTCCTCAGATCCCTCTCTGCTCTGTTTCCCGCAGGGAGCTGCCCGACGGCGGGGCCCGGCCGAACGCCGCGCAGTTCAAGCAGCTAGTGGTGTCGGCGCTGAGGGAGCTGCACGGAGAGGTGGTATCGGGACCAGGATCGGGATTGGGGTCGGGGTCCCTCCCTCGGCTGACGGCTCCGCGCCGGGAGAGCCTCGGGGGAGCGGCCTGTTGCCTGCCCTGTGTCCCCCGGCACAGCAGGGCAGTGTCCGAGCGGGGGGGCGGGCCGAGGGGCAGGAGAGGCGGGATGAGTGTCCTCGGTTTGCCGCTCCCCTAACCGGGTACCTGCTCCCCAGCCCACGCTGTAATTGCTCCCAGTGATGCCGGGCTGCACGTCTCAGTTCAGTGTCCATGGTCAAGTGGCTCCAGTCATCCCTGGAAGTGCTCAAGGCCAGGCTGGATGGGGGCTTTAGACAACTTGGTCTAGTGGAAGGTGTCCCTGGCAGGGAATTGGAACGAGACGATCTTTAAGGTCCCTTCCACCTCAAACTGTTCTTTGATATCCGGTTTTTAGAATTTGGAGTATTGATGCTTTTGCTATAGGGAGGCTTTAGAACGAGAACTTTGGGAAGGGAAAAGCTTTGTGAATGGGAAATCCACAGTACTGTTCTTGCTCTGTTTACAATATTGCTGGGTGGCTTTAAGCAGGTCACATCACCTGTGGGTCCATGTTTCTCCATCTGTAGTGTGGAAATAAGTGGCTTCTATCTAAAGAACTCTTGAGAGGGAAGGTGCTGTTTATTTGTAACTGAAACACTCCTTTGAGATTTGAGTGAAATTATAATATGATGTAACATGCTGGGTGTGAAATCACTTGCTTTATAAACCACTATAAGAATAGAATGGTACTTATTAAATGACTTTTTTTTGATAGGTTGGAGCAGCTTTGCCTGTTGATGTTTTAACATATGAGGAAAAAACTCTATCTGCCATATTAAGAGTTATTAGCAGGTAAGGTGCAGTCAGTACACGCTTCTGATACTGCCATGAAAGTATTTTTTGTAAGAAAACCAGAACTTCTGAGCTAAGAAAGGTCTTTGAAGAATTAAGCCTAACTTGCAGATATTTGCATACAGCACGGAGAAAATAATTACTGAGATATAACTTCATGGATCAGTATGTTATTCCTGCTTTAAACAATGATGGTTTAAATGGTCTTAAGACAGGAACTAAGGACCATCGAAATATATGGCTTTAAATTGCTTTGTATAGTAAAAGTCAGAATGAGTACTGTAAATAGTGAAGATGACTGCAGGTGAATCAGGGGAAGAAGGAGTTTAAATGCACAGAGACAACAAGAACAGGTGAAGTGAACTTGAAGAGGTTACAGCACATATCTCTTTGTCGAAGACAAGAAACCGCAGCCACTACAATAACCCTTCAGGAATAGTGTTGCTACCAGAACTCGCTGGTGAATTTACTTGCTGTTAAACTCAGTTAAGATGTCATTACTCTTAGTGTAACATTTTTATTTAAATGTATGTTGCAGGAAAACTGATAAAATTTTATTAATATATTTTATTTTCTTTTTACTTAGTGGCCTTGTCAAGCTGTGGAGTGCTCTAACCTTGCTGGGCTTCTACCAGAACAGGAGGTGTGCCTTCCGGGTGCTGCAGGTAAAGCCTTGCAGGGCTTGGTGGCCTCCCCCAGATGTCTGGCTCTAATTTTGGCTGTCTGTCTGAGCATGCTGCCTCTTCACAGAGAGGTGGCCTAGATGCAAAAATGCCTTGGTTTGGGAGTGAAATGCTTTTCAGTGCAGGCGTGTGGGCCTGTGTTTGAGCAGTTCACACCTTATAATAAATCTTGGAAGATGTGACGGTAGTGGCTGTCCCATTATTTTATGGTTTCAGCCCAGTGACAAGTCCTGATGTCATTAATACATCTGCAAGAAAATAATGTCTGGCAAGTTTTGTTTATGGACCACACGTTGGTCCTGTCTTTTATTTCCTCTACCCCGTTTCTTCCCTTTCTAATAGTCACTGTTAACAGACCTTACGAACGTGCACTTCCAGAGCTTATTTTTTTCAGGAGGATGCTGCTAAATACAATGGGTTCTGAGAGTTCTTTGTCTCTGAAGCCATGACTGGACAAAAATCTGCTAGGGCATAGCTCTAAGTTTCTAATCGTTCATGTGAAAGGAAAATTTAGCTATTTTCACATTTGAGTGCAATTGTTGGTGATTTTTTTTCAAGGCTTTAGTTTGTTGTTGTTTGTTTTTGTTTTCCCCAAAACAGACATCTCCGTTTCTTCTCGCATTATCTGGCAACAGTAGAGAACTAGTCCTGGACTGAACGTGGTTGTTGGTTTGGTAGTATGAAGCAGAAGTTTCTGGAGATGTTGCAGCCCTTCGGGCGTGGAATTTCTGGAGGAATGTTCCGACAAAGAGCCTTGACAAAGCTAACGTTTATCAACTCACTGCTTGGACATCCAGCACTTCAAAGTTTACACATAAAAGTTGGAGACAAAGCTGAACTTACCAAAGCTTTTACACAGAATGATGTTGTTACTTTTTCCTGCTTAACGGGTGACACAAATCCTTTGCATTTAAATGAAGAGTTTGCAAAGAAGTCTCGGTTCGGGAGACCTGTTGTACATGGAGTTCTGATCAATGGACTTATTTCTGCAGTTCTAGGTACTAAAATGCCTGGTCAAGGGTGTATATTTCTCTCCCAAGAGATCCGGTTTCCAGCTCCTTTGTATATTGGTGAAGAAGTCACAGCTGCAGCAGAAGTGAAACGGTTGAAGGGTTCTGTTGCACACATTTCAGTATCATGTCAGGTCAGAGAAAGGGGGAAGACTGTTATGGAAGGGATGGTGAAAGTCATGGTGCCGGACAGTTAGAGCTGTTCATCCTGTGCTACTTTACTGTAAAGGCCAGAAATGCTTGGTTTTGACTTTGTCTTTTTATATGACATCACTGAATCCAGTAAATTTGCAACAAAAAATGCTTGCAAGACAGTGCACAAACTTAATATTGATAGAGCTGCATTAAACCTAAAACTTTTCATTTTCCTCTATGTATTGTCAAGGTGAAACCAGCAGAACCAGGCACTTACTGTGACAAAGAGGCAAAGTGGCTCTGCCACAGTGGGAATTCTGGAGTGGCTGAGGCTGTTCTTTCTGGCAAAATCACTGTCCACACCAGCAAAGTTCAGTTAAAACTTGTTCCTTTTGTACAAAGCAGCTGTACTGCCAACAAGCTCCAGGGGAGGGGACAATGTTGTGTTTAACAAGCGGGACAAAAGTGGAGGTACTGACACACGTGCACTGCAGGATGTGTTGTAATCTGCATGGCAGCTCCTGTGGGTGTTTCCTCTGAAACTTGCTTCCCAGAAGCAGAGTGAAGGCGGCTTTAAAAAAAAATATATTGTCACGACTTGTACTTACTGTGCTTGTGCTCCTGAGGGCAAAACAAGCAGGAACATATGAGTTGAGTACTAACTGTATGGCTTCTCTCTGCTTGCTTGACTGTGTGAACATGCATTCCTCTTTTGGTAAATTCATAACCAGCATGAGATCATGATACACTAAGAGACTTCTTTCAGGAGTGATCGGTGCCATCAGGAATAAGGCCTTCGGTTGGTGGTTCATAATTTTCTGGCAAAGCATCTGTTATGCCCTCTATCTTCTTTGCAGCCAAAATGCATTTGAAACTTTCCTTGACTGCAAATAACCTCAGAAATTTGCTATGAAAAGAGAGTTTGTCCTCATCCTGTGGTGAAAACTACAAAACAGTTGCACTGCCTGAGTGTGCTGCACTCTAACCCCAGGTGTTAGTCACACTGGAGCAGAGGGAGGGGTAATGTTTAAGGTTTTTGACTCCATGCCCTCTTTATCCAAAGCCTGATATTTGGCCTGTTCACAACTTGGAAGTAGTACTTTGGGAGAGCTTTCGTTATCTCTTGTTTGTAGGAGCTTCCCGTTTCCTTTCCTTCTGCCTCGGGTCACTGCCTGTCATGGGCTTGTGCTGTATAAAACACTTTCCCAAAGCAGGCATGCTCCTTTCTCTGTTTCTTATTCACCTTCCTCTCCAGGTGGGAAGTTGACATGTTAATATCTGTTAAAAAAGTGAATCAAACCTGTGCTTGACCTCCTGGGTCATGCACAAGGAGTAGTTTGGGGAGTCAGGATTGCTGTTCCAGCCTGAGATTCAGTTAATGAACCCACCACAGAGCCCATTTTCCTCTCAACGTGGAGCTGCAAGACAGGAGTACAAAAACCAAGCTGTGTCTGATGTAAAAAGTCAAAAGAAAATGCAGACAAGTGTCCAGCTTGTAGGTTCCTGAGTGCTAAGTAGTACTGAAATAGAAAGTTTTTTACGATTCTACAATGAAAGCCAGGTTGTGAAACTCAATTGAACAACTTTAAATGCCTTCTGAAAAAAACCCAAACCAAACCCCAAACACTAAAATCTAGAAATTGAGTAGGAGTTACTGGATGCTATTTGATTATTTTATGATTTTAACCACAAAAAACACCCCGAAGGTAAAGAACAGCAAGCGCACCAGCCCTTTTCAGTCGCCTTCTCTGGGAGGACCAGCAGTGTCTCGGGGTTGTTGCCTTCCACGCTGCTACTGCTCCCATCGGTGCCACTGGAGCACCGAGCGCAGATGACTTGGGCAGAGGGGGGCGGCCACATGTGCTCCGGCCTCCCCTCCCGCTCCCGAGGACGAATCTCCCCGTGTCCCTCCCATCCCACCGTGTCCCCCCATCCCGCCGCCTCCCGGGGCGGGACCGGGTCTCGAACCCGCGGTATCCCGGGGCGGGCGCGGCGCCCCCTGGCGGCGGGCGGTGGCAGCGGCGGGCGGCGGCGCTAAGGCCCCGCGGCGGCGGCGGCGGCGGCGCTGCCGTGTTGACAGCGGCGGCCGCGCCGGGAGCTGCCCCGGGAAGCGGGTTGGCGGCGCCGGTTCTCCCGCTCCCCGCTCCGCTATGGCCTTCATGGAGAAGCCGCCGGCCGGCAAGGTGCTGCTGGACGACACGGTGCCGCTGACAGCGCAGATCGAGGCGAGCCAGAGCCTGCACTCGCACACGGTGAGCGGGGCAGGCCGGGCCGCGGGGGGCGGCGGGAGCGGGGAGAGGGAGCGGGGGGAGCCGGTAACGGGGGGCGCTGGGGAGGGTGAGGGACCTGGCGGGGGCAGCGGGGCCGGGCGAGGGCCTGCGCTGAGCCCGCACAGCGGGGCCGGGGGCGGCGGAGGCGGGGGGGACGCCGGGGCAGTGCGGGGCGGGCGGGGGGGAGCGGTGCGGGAGGAGGCGGCGGGGCCACCACCCCCGGGAGCGGGTTGGAGCGCCCGGGAACCCCTCGGTGGGATGCGGCAGTGCCGCCGCCGCCGCCGCCTGGAGCCGGGGGTCGCTGGACTCGTTCGTCCCCGCCGTGTACGCGGGGTTCCCGTGAGCAGCCGGGCACAGCCCCGGGAGGCTCCGCCGGGGCTCTGCGGGCGCGGCCGGTGCGGGGCTCGGGCTGTCTCGTGTCCGCCCCGAGCGAGGCCCTGTAAGTGGCTGTAATTCCTGCTTTTCTCAGGGTGTTGCAGCCCTTGGAGCGGAGATGGGCTCTGGTTGCCTCATTTCAGTAGCTGCGATGAAGTTACACATGAACGGGCTGCATTTGCCTGCGGGTCCTGCTGTGTGACTGAGGCTGTGAAGCTGCAGAGACCCCGCAGCCCCAGCCCCGCTTCTTTGTTGTGGGGAGCGGTGACACTCAGCAGAACAAACCCGGCTGTCACTTGGGTGTCACAGGTTAATTATGGGATGCCAGGGATACATGACGCTGCCTCCCTAAGAACTGCGCTGTCTATAGCATGCAGTAATAGTCCCAATTTCATAATGTCCTGTTTGCAGTTATTTTCCACTTTAAAAACCAGGTTTCCTTATAGTATGACCAAGCAGTACTGTGAATCAGAGAGAGGGAACTGGCTGTCATTTGTGGTTCCTGCTTTGGCTGAGAGCAGGGATGCTGGGCTGGAGAGGAGGCCAGAGGTACCTCAGCAGCAGGTACACTAGTGGGAGGCGTGCTTTAAATGGCTTTCTTCTGCCCCTAACACAGCTCAGATCCCTGCATTGTGGATCTTTTCCTGGTTCCATGCATCTGGTGCATACCCTTAACCTGAATGACAGTAACTGTAGGTTCACCACAGGATATACAACTGATCTGTAGACTGCCTTATTAAATACTCTTCCTATAAATAATCTGCACTTAAGAAATGGGATTTTTTGTGTGTGAGGAACTCTCATTAACTAATGTTCCAGTCTTCTCTGAACAGAAATTACCTACGAGAAATGGCCTAGGAGGTCTCTTGAATCTAGCAGGCTGTGGCTCTCAGTTGTTGCAACTTTTCTTCTTATATTTCTTGGCAATTGTGATACTTTTTACCTGTTCCAATAGCTAAGGGGTGCATGTGCCAAGTCCTATGAGAAGTTGTGTAACTCCTAATACCCCCCAGTTGGCAGAGCAGATTAAGTTTCATTGGTAGCTTGTTTCCAACAAGCCTTATTATACTTTTTCACTACTGCAAATGACAATAGCTTTTTGTGTTCTTTCCTTTTGCTTGCATGATTTTGGTTAAAAAAGAAAAAGTCACTAAATTCTTTCAGAATGAATACTTTTTTCAATGCAGACTCTGTGTGTGTTGTCTTGTCTGAGGGAGTGCTGTTCCCCCCCTCTTTCACCTCCGTATTCTAACGGATGTTCAGGAAAAATTCTCTATTGATTTGCTCTGATCTTTTGTTAATACCAGAGTGCTGGAGCACTGTGCTTTTTGATTTAAAATCTGTCTCTAAGATACATCTCTTAGTAATTGTTTGTTTTACTGCAGAAGCCCTGTTGATAGTTGAAAGATGGCTTGAAGTGTGTGTAGCACAGATGGTTTATATAGAGCCAGTGTGGGATAACAAAATACAGGAAGCCATTAACAGACACTTGGTTTCTTATTTGATGTAAATTGACTATTTTGTCATTTTGGACGCTTCATCTTATGTCGCTAGTATCTGAATAGTTTGTTTATTGGTGGGTGATGCTGTCCCTGATTTGAACTTTCCTGGTTTATAATAAGCTACACAAATAAACCCTTGTATCTGAAGAGGTGTGTAAATGAAGCCCCTCTAAGAAATAAGGGCTGAAGTGCCTTTGTGGGGTCTTAAGACTGCATTTTACTTTGTTAAATTATAGTTAGCAGAAAGTAGGTTGTCATTAACTGAATGCTTTTTAGGTTTGTTCCTCATCCCACCTCAAAGCAGTATCTTCAAAAGATGTACATCTGTACAGTCCTTCATCCCAAACTACTGTCTGGAGAACTAGGTTTGCAAATGGCAGACTTGTTCTAAAGCTGAAATACAAATGCAACCATAAATAAATTTTCTGTTCTGTTGTCAGCAGTTTGTATTAAGATTTTATAATGCTGTTTAGTGTTGCAAGAGTTGTTTTAAACTTGCATTTGTATTTTTTCCCTGTAGATCATAGCTTATAAAAGCACTCATATGAAAACAGCTTAGGCCGAGGTTAGGTCTAACTCAGCAACTGAACTAGTAATTATGTAAACCTTCTGTGGATGCTGAAAATAGACAGTCTTCTGAAAAACCAGCTAAGGAAGAGGTAAAGAATTTCAGGAAAAGCTCTGTAGACATGGTGAAACATCGCACAGAAGACCAAAGCTTGTGTCAAGTGAATAGTCTGCTTGCCTATTGTTCTTAGTAGTTTTTGTTAATTTAAATTTAATACAGCAAACTGGGTGAGTATAAACTTCACAGCATTGAGTCAGGAGCTGTAATTGGCACAGACTCAGTTTCTGTTTCCTGGGGCTGAAGGTGAAACTGAAAAAAAACAAAACTGAAAACAAAACCTGAAACTACTACACACGTACCTGAATTCTCCAGAAACCTAAGAAGGGACAAAGCTAGTATAGAAAATGTACTTTTGAGGGTTTGCACTTTTTGCTTAGTAAGAGTAGGTCAACCCCATTTACTAGGGAAATTATTTTAGGGAATCAGCTGCAAAATCCTCTGATATGCTCACAAGCTCGGTGTGTTTTGTTCAAGACAGAAGAGCTCAGAGTCAGTATACATCTGAGCTGGGACACAATCTCCATGTTTTTGTGTTGCAACAAAGAAATTGTCCATTGAGGTTTTCTTTCTGCATATTTATATCCAGTGATAATTGAAGATGAAAATTATGCTTTTTTATGTTTGCAAAAGTTGTTTCCCCGGTTAGGTGTGTTACAAGCAGTCCGAGTTTTGTTGGAATGTGCACTTACATACAATTAATTCTGTAGTGTGGTGTTTTTATAGACCTTTTAATTTTAAAGCAAAAAACCCAAACATATTGCAGGTGCATTCCAGTGGCACCCACTTAACATGAACAAACCCTGTCAGCTTCGTTTTGTCTCCTGCTTTATGCTTCCGTCACTAGCACTGCATCGGAGAGAGAGAAACTGTAGCTTCCAGGACTGTGTTGGGCACCTTTCCATAGCCATGGCTCAGTCCCTTGGTAGGTGTGTGTACCAGTTTTGCAGAAAATGAAGTTGTTTTGTAGCCACTGCATTCCTTGACTTCAGTAGGAGTGGAATTACATCCAATATATTAAGCCATTTGCAAGTGTCTCATCTTGACGCCAAATGTTGTGTTCTGACAACAGAGGCAATTTCAGCACTAAAACTTTAATAAATGTTGGCTGTTGAACTTGCTTCATATTGCAGTATTTCATCTGTGTGTTCGCTATTTAGAAGTGGTTTTCTTTCTGAGCCTTGAAATAGGATGCTGTTTTCTTCCACAATAATCTAGACATATTCCTTAGTAAGAACTGCCTATTGTACATATAACTCTTAGAGCACTTTTCAGCAGCAGAACTACCATTGAGTTGTACATATACTTACGAGCATTCCTTAATTCCTTTCTGAAACGATTTTGCTTTTTCATGTGTTTCATGTTTTGAAATGGAAGTAGTGAAACAGCCAGCTTTGCTGCAGTACATTGTTGTCTTAAAGGCATTTGGAAACGAACAGCTGAAATAAATCCCTCTCATAACATACTTTCAGAGTTTTTAGTTTTTCTTGAGCAATGATGAATGTTGACACTCACAGCTTTTAGATTAGAAAAATGTTGAAAAAGCATTTATATTTCTCCTATATCGTTCCCAATACAAAAATGGAGCCATATGTTTCTAGAAGTGTAGGATTTAGTTTAAAAACTTGTAAAGGACTTTGCACATCTGCTTTATAAGGAAGTCAATCTCTGCAAGGTTGCCTTCACTTTGAACAAAAACAAACACGAAGTTACTTTTAAACGTGGCTTTAGAGAAGGGAGCTATTAGAGTTCACTTGTTTGAGGTTACAGGAGTGCAGTTCCTCCACTGGCCTTAGTAAGTATCCTTGACCACCTCCCACCTCCCCTCCAGCCTGAGCTCACAAAAGGTAGCTCTTTCATCACACCTAATTTTAGATATTCTAACCTTTTGGTTTCCTCTGGTGAACTCAGAAAATTACTGTTGCATTTGTAGCTCCTACAAAGATTGCAGTCAAAATATTAGATGCCATATCATACTTTAGTAAACCCTAATTAGAATATTTTTGTTGGCCACTGAGTATTTCCTGAAAAATACTGATTATTTTGCCTTTCTGGTGAAGGCCACAGTGATGCAGGGCACTGAAAATCCATGATTTCTCATGTTTCATTTCTTTCCTTGTTGAGTAAGTTTCATTACATCTATATGTGTGTCCTATTTTTTCCCTGCAGTTGTCCCACTTCACAGCTTTCACTTATTGAATGGCTGACTCATTACTAGAGCCGTGACACAGTGTGTGAATGGTGCAGACAGGACACATGCACACCTGCATTGTTTAAAGTGTAGGGAAACACCTGCCTGCTGCTGCTTCTACCTCAGATGGGCTTAATGGCAGGTTGTGCAATAGCAAATAAGTACTGTGCCCTGTAACAGAGAGGTCTCTGAGGCTGAGCAGCTTTCCTGGCCTTGTTGCTACTTTTCACATGGGAGATTTTCTAAATAAACATTTAAAAGAGCTTCTTACTAGAAATTGTTCCAATCCAGCCTACTTAAGCAGGGATTGTCTTCATGCTTAATTAGGCTTTCCTCTCTTTAATGCTTATAAAATAAAGCTCTTTCAAACTTTTAGTTGATGTGACCTGAAGGTGACCTGGATCTTTATAATGGTTGGCTTTTCAAGCCTGTTGGATTAAACAGACGTACAGCAGAAATCTGTGGAAAAACAGGCTGACTGTCCTGAGTTGGAAATTTAGAGACTAGTTTCTTGGCAAAACAGAATGTATTTACCAATAGTGGTGACACTCTACATTTTATTTTAAGAATCTCTAAATTTGCCCCTTGTTCTTTCCTATTTTGTCTCTACAAAAGCCTTCTTTCCTGTTTGCTTCCTGTTTCAAAAACTAGGAATGGTGATAAACAGCAATTGATAAACATTTGAACATACTTTGCTGTATGATTTTCACCTAGGAATGTTAACAAAATTTTGCTGAGCAGCACTGAGCTGCCGATGCTAGTGTTTTAATAAGTGCTGGAATACCAGGGACTAATCTTGGTGAATGTGAGGGGGAAAAACATCTAAATGTTGGCTCTGCATGTAAATGGGTAAGTTCAGGATAATGGTGATCCCACTCAGTGATTGTGAAACTGTTACTGGCAAAGTATTGGAGAAATGCAGTGTGGTTATCACTGATCCATGTGGATTTTTGGAGAATACTCCTTTTCAGAAACTTTATCCAGAACTCTGTAGTGATGGGAGAAGATTTTAGAAAATGACAGCGTGCAGCTGGGGTCATGCAGCTTTCCCTGCTCCCAACCTCCTCCTCCCGGCACCAGTTTCCACTTTTTTGACTAATTGGAGCAGCCAGGAAATGATCCCATAGGTAAAACTGCTTTCTTTGGCATCTTAAAAAATGTATCTTGAACTGCTACTGGAATATCAAGATTGTGTCAGGAACTGCTTGGCAATACTGGTACGAAGAGGAGCGGATGCACAAACCTTACCTGTTGGGGAGTCTGGAGAGGTCCGTGGAGCTTGTGTTGGGAATGGTTGTGTGGCCTTTGTTGTAGGTGTCTCCTGTGTAGCTGCTGGCAGTGACCTTGCTGCCTGTAGGCAAAATCAGTAGCAGGAGGTTCTCTCTCTGTTGTCTCTTCTGTGCAAGCTGAGACCTTTCTTTGCCAGCCATCAGCTGTTAGGGCTCCTTTGAAGTTATTTGGTAAACTGAGTCATAGGAAAGATTCTGAGCTATTCATGTAGGAGTGAAAGATGCCATGGGAATTTCTGCATGAGTGTAGCTAACCTAGACCTCACCGAGCCTGGTTGTTGATTCCTAAAATTGTTGGCAGGAGCGAACTCTGGTGGTAATTACTGGCCCTTTCTGAAGTCTTTTCCATTCTGTTTTCCAAGGTTGGATGATGCAGCTAAGCAGAAATGATCCTGAGTGTGCCTCTCTGTTTTCCTTATGCTTTTATGTGTTTCCTATGGGCACAGTCTCAGTCCCACTATCAGGCAGTGTCAGAAGAAGATTGTTGTAATTCAGATTTTTTTTCCCCTAACCAAAACAGAATTTGGCAGGGTAATAAAGGCTTTTGTGCATTTAGGCTTGAAGAGTTGAAAGCTCTTCTCTGGTCCTCTGGGAAGCGTATATCAGTGGTGCTAATTATAATCCCACAACAAGCTTGTTGCCACGCGGAGGCAATAGGAAGTATCAACTTCTCACTAAAACTCAGCATACTGTGGTCTGCTGATTATGTGTAGCCATGGCAGACACTGGGAATGGGATTGTGTTTTTTATCCTATTTTTTCTACTACAGCTATTCAATCTCGTTATCAACTTAGGGTGAAAAATACCCCAAACCCCAGAAAAGCATTTAGACTTTTTTGTCAGCTGTATTGACAGGGTGGACAACTGTTCATTACAGTCAGTGTTTTAGGGCATCAGAGCAGAACTGGATGGGAAAATGCTCAAGTATATGTAGGGAAAAATAGCTGAGGCCCAAATATGTCTTTTTTTTATATAATCTTCCTGTGAGAATGGGCTCTGAGCCCCGAGTTGTTTATCACTGGGCTCTCCAGAAGAGCCACTGCCGTGTTGAGCAGAGTGGTTGTGGGCAATGAGATGCTTTGATGGTTGTCTAATAAGTTTGTGTTCTGCCTGCCTGGGAGGGCTTTCTTGGGGTACAGTAGAAAATGATAATCACTGGGTGAAGAGTAAGTGCTACAAGGAATTGAGCATTAACTCTGCTTCTTTCAAAATCCTAGAAAAGATGAATGACTGCACGTGGTGAATCATCACTGACGTGGTTTTCAGAGGAACAGCCAACGTTCCTTTGAGACTTGATGAATAAGCAATTGTTGCAATTCTTTGTCTGTGTGTGAAGTAGCCTCTTCCTACTTCCCAAAATGCAGAAACGATCACAAAACAGGAAAAGCCACTTTAGTGGTGAATACGGGTTTCCAGGTGTCCCTTTAATTGATTTCTGTCATACAGTTTCCAAACATAATTACACCGGTTGAATTACAATTAGCTCTGTTACTATTTATGAGTATTTGGGCTTCTTGTTTTGCAGGAAGATACCATAATTATGATTTCAAATGGATGAGAGAAGAGAATATGGAGTGAGCATGTCAGGCTGATTTTCTGAAAATAGACACTTTAATTCTAGTGTAACAGTTACGTGTTTTGGTTTGTGACATCTCAGATTTATGTCATTTCCAACTAAGATGCTAGGACAAGAAATGTCATAAATCACTTTGGTTTTCATGCTTACTAGTCTTGTTCCTTCTCAAGGCTAGGAGGTTCAAACTTACTACAGATATTTGACAGCTGTGATGATAAAGGGTGTTTTAAGTGAATTTTAGAAAATGGTATAGCATTTTTGACTCAGCAGCACTGGGCTTTGGAAGGAAACTTCAGAAAATAAAATCTGGATTAGGTAAGGTTGAACATACAAGGTGATACCAACTGGTTAAGTGTTGCCTTTGCCTCATAATTTTTGATTTACACTAATTACTTGGTAGATGTTAAATGAGAATTTAGTTCTCTGGAGGGATTCTCTGATGTGCCCCACTTTGTTAGTTTGCTCCAAAGGTATACTTATGTTTTTCAGCGTAACAGTTTTTAATTTAATTTAATTTTAAAGAGGAGAATTATTTTGTGGAGTTTAGAAGGCAAGTTCCAAAACCAGAAGACACTTCACAGTGCTTGAAAGAAGATACTTAAAAAGGCATGAAGTGGATTCTTAACTGTGAACCTGAGTTTATAATACTTCATGAATCAAGTGCTCAGTTAATTGAATTATCTAATTGGTAGACAGGCACATGTCAGATAGAGTTATTGTTATGAAATGGACAAATTTGGCATTAAACACAAGGTGCAGGAAATACCTTTGTTTATTTGTTGTTATTTCCCCATTGTTTGTTCGTAGTAATTTTGAACGCAGCATAAATTTTAATATCTGCAAATGCGCATGATGCTCTGATCAGTCCTTTTTGTGTAAGACTCCTGTTGATGGAAGCAATTCAGCGAAAGAGCACTTGAAATGGAAAAAATTATTCAGCACTTTACATAAAACACGTTTGAAAGTTTGTCCCGGGGTGAATGAAGTCATCTGAGCTGGCTGACAGCGGTGCATCATGTGCTGCTGCACTGCAGGCAGGGGCTGGTGGGTCCTTGTGCGTCGCTTGGCACAAGTGCAAGGAGCTTTTTGCATGTTCCAGCTCGGGAATGCTGTGGCCCGTGGTGGGAATTTGTGTTTGGCTCAGAATTTTTCGTTCTCACTTTGGATGTGTAGCTGCAGGTGCGTGGGTGTGACTGTGCTCGTTCCCCTGGGGAAGCCTGACGGGTTTAGTGGCACTGAGCCTCAGTGCAGGGTCCTGCCACCCCAGCCAGGCCTGTTTCTCAATGTAAATTATGTGGCTGTGGGAGAATCTCTGTAAAAAGACTTTAAAAAGAGCTGCACTTACAGAGCTTTGTGTGAGCAAATGGCAAAGAAGTATCTATTGCTACAATCAGCCCAGAATAATTTTATTTCCTTACTAATTAAACAATATCTAAAATGGAGAATATAGGATTTCTAGGAAATGGACTTGCCTTGTTTGTGATATTTGAAATGTCAAAAGTGGTTTTAGAACTGTTTTCAAACTGAAACAGAGTAGAGGTAAACAAAGTCATGGCTGCCTTGAAGTATGTCTGATTGGGTGTATAAGATACTTCATATCTATTTTTGAGATAATTGAATAAATCTCCAATGATGATATTGTTGTATTGGCCAGGTATTTGTGACCAGGCATTAGTCTGCAAAAGGTACAGTGGAGCTTGAAATGAAGAAACTGAAAAAAATTGTGATCTATGAATGTAATTGTGGTGGAAGAATTATTAATTCTTAAAATTCAAAAGTTCCTTACTGAGATTTAGATATATCTGCATAGTTAATATTTAAATATTTAACATTAAGCATGCACTATAAATGAAGAATTACCATCATGAGAAACTGAGATGTTCTAGTTAGCCAAGCACATTCCACAGCTTTTGTGGTAACCTTTCCAGTACAAAAATAATTGGAGGTTGAGCAGCTGTGGTTATTTATTGGCATTTCACTCTGTTTTGGTGGTGGCAGTAGTTCCTGGGGGTACTTGCTGGATATTGGAGGTGAGGTAAGGAGAGGTTTCTTCAGCTGATGTTGGTAGAGATGTGTGCTGAGTATGCTTTTACTGCCTTTTTCTGTAACTAAATTAAACTGTTCAAGTGCAAGCTCCTGGACCTGTCCTTGTGTTCTGCACTGGGAAGCAGAGTGAGACAATTGCTGGGGGTGGGAGTGAGCAAATCCAGCTTGGACCTTCCCCCAGGTGCTCGATCTGAATTTTCTGTTTCTCAGTATTTGTGGTCATAGTTGGAGAAGTACTGAATAACTTTCTTCAGCTTACTCACTCTCATTTCTAATATTTTTTTCCTTTTATTAGGAATACATAATCCGTGTTCAGAGAGGAGTTTCAGCAGAAAACAGTTGGCAGGTAATTTCTGAAGCTGTGGTTCATGTAACCAGGATGCCTTTTTAGGATGAGTTTGAAAATTGTCCCTTCCTAACTTTTCAAACTTGAGCTGGAAAGAGAAATGTTCATTTGGAATTGAGAACATGAAGTGCTTGAATACTTTTGATCAAAAACTAAGAGAAAACCAGTATTGCTGCCAGCTACAGAAGGCATGTTGTCTTCTCCTATTCTGAATATTCCAGGAAAAGTGCCTGTCGTGTTACTACTGTGGTTTGCTACAACCATCATTTTAAAATCTCAAATGCTAGTTTGCCTTCCTTAGGGCTAAAATTACAGCCTTGCTGAGCAACAAAACCAAGAAGTAGTAATGAAAATGACTATGAAAAGTTGTTGCATCTAATATGGCAAAAATGCCTTTTTTGCCACAACTTTGCTCACAAATATTTTTAAACCTGTTTTAAGATAATATTTAGAAATGCATTTTCTTTCTGGTCAGATATGATTAAAAACTGCTCTGGTCTCTGGCAATGTGACATAAATCCAACAGTTATGCCTTTGTACAAGAATTGTTAAAAGAAGATGATTATAAATGGGAATTACTTTTCTCTGATGTAATTTTGAGGAGTAAAATGCTAATGGAAAAAGTAATTTTTTTCCTGAACTGTGTCTTTTATTTTGCAGATTGTGAGGCGATACAGTGACTTTGACTTGCTTAATAACAGCTTGCAGGTAACTTTCACCCTTGATATATAAATATAAAGTCTAATTAGGAGGGTTTATTTAAAATGGCTTGTGATATTTGTATATATTGTGGTGAAGAAGAAATAAAAATTCACATAGCTGTAAAGAGCAGCTGTGACTTCAAATGTAACTTGAATGTGTACTTTTTCACTCCTACGTTTTCCCTTATAAAATTGAATTTTAGCATCAACGGGATCAATTTATATAGAAATGGAGGAAATTGGCAGATACTGAATCTTTCCCTTCAGTACTGTGACTTGTTCCGGTTTTGTGTGTTTTTATTTGTTCCTTCTTTGATTTGGAGAAAGCCAAGGCACATACCAACCTTATAAATTCAGCATTGAAGTGCTATGTGTCCCATTATTTATATTCGTCTAAAAGCACTACCAGATGCTGCTTCTCATGTGATGGTTTTCTGTGTCACTGAGGAGTGTTCCTTGGCCAAACACTGGACTCACTGTGTGTTTTCTTCTGCTTTTCAGGACAATTATTTCTTTTTAGTTTGTGTGGGAAAAAGCAGGGTGTATGTGAGTGTGTTTGGAAAAGGGGGGAAGCAGGAGTGATGAGCATCGACAGGGTTGAGACTCATTACTTGGGACTTCCATGGTACTGGGCAAACAAGATAAAAAATGAATGATGAGGTTGAGGGTAGATTTTTGTGAGGTTGAAATTTTTTCCCCTGTTAAATCTTTCATGAATTCAAGAGTTTAATGCTGTTTCCACTTCCTCTTTACCTCCCCAGTTTAATCAACTACCTGCTTGATGATCCTTGGTGAGCAAAACCCTGCTAGGGTGTTGAATTGTGAGCTCTGACAGTCTGCTGTAACCAATTCCTTTGCTGAAGGTGGATAGGGGGACAAATTAGTCATAATTCAACAGATGCAACTTGGTTGTCTTGTTGAATTATTCTGTTGAATGTGCAGTAGCACGTAGGAACTTTTATCATGACCTAGAAACCTTCTCTGTGATGTGCTGAATAAATGCAATACAGGGATGTGTCCTACTCCAGAAACATCCGAGATTTAAAATTAGATAAACACCCAGGGGAACACGAGGAGATGAGATGGTACTAGTCATCAGAGTACCTAGGGGTCATTGTGGTCTTAACCATTGTCAGGTTCTGATAAAGATCACAGAGAAAGAATTTCGAGAAAGTTTTAAAAAGAAGAAAGAGTTCACTTCTGCAGCCACCTCTAACAAGCTCCTCTTAACCCTGGGGAATAGAATGTATTAAGGCATGAAAAAGTTTTATGCCTTCCCATTTACATTTCAAATGAGGCACCTTTAGTAGAGAAAGCAATGGACCTTTAAGTCCTAAAATTCAGAAATGCCAGGTACTGCAAGGTTAGGCCTAGGTGGAAGGTCTAGAAAGTGAAGGTAAATAGGTTTTGTATGATAAAGAAAAAACCTTTTTATCTGAGACAGAGGTGAACGATAAAAGGGGATGGTTCAGGAAATTATTTGACAGCAACTTGCAGAGTGGGATAAGGGGGAATTTGAAACAAGAGGGAGACCAGGATCTAGGACAAAAACATCAGCTTCTTGGGTGACCAGAAAACATCAAACAGAATAATCAAAGCATACCTCTAACTTGGATGGGAGGATATGAGAGCATGGCTAAATTAGCAGGCCATGGTCTTTAGCGCTTGACTCCTTCAATGAAAACTTCTGCTCACCCCTTGATTTTCAAACTCCTGAGTCTGCTTTCCATGGTCTGGAAAGGCAAAGTTGTGTCTCTACTTGGAGAAGCTTTTTCTGGCTCGTACAGAGAACCACCCTAAAAGTTGTTATTCTTCATTATGTGCCCAGCAGAAGGGCAGGAATAGAATTTTAAGCCTTTATCAAAGATGCACAGCTCTGCTTTTGACAAACACTACTGCTTCTCCAGCCTAGTTCCAAATGCCAGGGCAGACAGTAACTAGTGAGAATCATGGTAAAATTGCTCTTTTCTCCCACTGTTTTGGATTTTTTACTCTTTATGATGCTAGAACTGAAGTTTTTGCATCCAATAAGACAATACAACACTCCTCTGTTCTTTCCATCCAGAACTCTAAGCAACAATATTCTGTCACAATATTTAGGTCCCATAACTTGTTTTTAGACTCTTTAAACCATTGTGTATATTGAAATTGGAGTAAACAAACAAACCTCCACAAAAAGCAACCCTCCAAAAACCAGTATAAAACAAGGACCAGTAAGAAGATACCAAACTCCAGTCTTCTTCCAACTAAAGTGCAGCTGGAAAAACTGAGCTTCTTTTGGATGTATGACCCCAAGTTCTTCAAGTTCTTGTGGCATACTTGTCCTTTTTGTAGATTTTGGTGTTTGTGTTTGAACACAGCTGCAGTTGAGTTGGAATGCAAATTAATCTGGTGCTACCTATATAATAATACTAAGGATCAAGAATTTCAAAACTGTCTAGGCTTGAGAATGCATACTTTTGACCCTGATTTGTATCAGAAAGTTTCAAGCCAGATTCCCTGAACTCTCAACTGTACTGGATTGAAAAGCTCCTTCCAGTCTGTCCTGCATTTCTTCCTCTTGCCTTATTTGACTGAGATGTGTGGAGATCCTTGACTGCTCTTCTGTTTTGTTAAGTGAAGTACTGGAAGCAGTGGAATTCACAGCAAGATATCTGGCTTTTGTGAAGCATTTTACTGCAGCTTTTGAACAGACATTCCTGAGCGGGCTGTGGTTTGAAGATAAGAATGTTAATTCCCAGGTTCTTCCGTGGTGAAGCCCATCCTGGCTCCAGTGGTGAGCTGGGGCCACGGAGAAATATTGCTGGTGTTTGAAAGCATGTGAGGTCTTGGCAAGGTCAGGACCTCAGTGAGGTGTCCTTCTAGGACAGACAGTGTTCTCGCTGTGCTGTGTGTTTTGTTAGATTGCTACAAAAACCTGGGCCTGGATGTTACTTTCTGCTGAAAAATAGCAGATGTCTGATTTATAAGCTTTAAAACAAATAATAGTGGTTTGAAAACATCTGAACTAGAGTCAGTGTCTCTCTGATGGTAGCTAGCTGTCAGGTCAAGAAGGTAGAGGTGATTATCATTTGACATGCTTTTTAAGTGAGTAATATCAGAAAAGGATTTAGGTTTTGTTTGGAAACTTTGTTTTCAGTTGGAGTGGTCTGCCAAAGGAGAGTTCTTTTTGCCTCTGGTGTTAAAACTAATTTGGCGAATTATTGACTGTAAGTGGGATATGATTGCTTTTGGATTTATTCCTGGATATTTTTTTCCCTTGGGTGCAAAAGAGCATTGAAAATTCTCAGTGAATAAGATGATTTTTATAAGCATCTTCTGTAATCCAGACATAGTTATAGTTCTTTTTCAATCCCTAATTTACAGTCAGAAACCAGTGAAGTAGAAGTGCTAAACTTAGTAGGGAACAACTGCCATGTTCAAATGTATGAGGTAAAAAGGAAAGGGAATGCTTCTTCTGTCCCAGTTTGTTGAACTAATCCCTTACCTTTTCCACTGGTTAAAATGAAAGTTGTTCAAACACCAAAAGCCCCTGTCTTCTCCCTGGTGAACTGTTTGCCTTAGAAATGAGGTTATTGCATCTGGTGTAATTGATTCCTGCAACACACAGTTCTTAAAGATAACTCCCATGGAGATTCAGCTCACCCAAGGCAGGTGCTTTGATCTGCAAGGCAACAATGTGTTAACAATATGAAAAATGTATTCTGGCAATTCACATGACGTAATTGAATATAAACACAGAGGATGATCTCTTTGATCTGGCTTACATAAGGCTTTGAATTTCTGTACATTTTTTCATCGTCCTATTTTGAAGGATTTCTCTGATTTTTTTTTCTGAAGTTTCGGATCACTAATGTCAGCATAAAACAACTACTCTATGCCCACTGGTAGATTGCAACTATTTCTGGGTTGAAAGATGTATAGAATTAAAAAAAAAAAAAAAAAGAAGTACAGTAGCAAATTCTGAAGAGAAAATGGAAAAGTTGCACCATATTTGTAATTACAGATTTAAAGCACTGTAGGAAAGGGCTTTAAATTACCTACAAAGTCATTGAGTCAAAGGAAAGTTATTAATCTACACTTCATGAAATAAGAAAGCACAAATCTTATCCAGGGAAAATGATAAGGTGTGAATAGTTTTTGTGCTGTGGCAGAGGTGTGTCATAGGAAGGGTCTGGCTGAAAATTGTAGCCATTTAGTATCTGAAAGTTTTGTGTAGTGATCTTAAATGTATGACTCACTTGCAAAAATTTGTCTCCTTGTATTTTCAGTGTTGTTCCATTTACTAATCTCTTCACAGTGGGATGTGAGCTGTCTTCTGACTCTGATAACAGTACTTAGGAAAAATATAAAAGCTTGTAATACACAGTAGGAAAAGAGTTATTGAGTAGTTAGCTTGCTGCTGAGAGTCTTTTACTTTCTGAGTTGCCAGTTTATATCCCCGAGGCATTTTGAGAGCAAGGTTAGTAATTTTTCCTCTCTTTTTAAAGATCTCAACTCTAAGTCTACCTCTTCCTCCAAAAAAATTGATTGGAAATATGGAGCGTGAATTCATTGCCGAAAGACAGAAGGGACTCCAGGCCTATCTCGACGTAATTACTACCCATCACATACTGTCTAACTGTGAACTGGTAAAGAAATTCTTGGACCCAAACAGCTATTCTGTAAACTACACTGGTAAGCAGGAAATACAAAACTGTATTACAGTTTGACTTTAGGATGTGTGTTTATCTTCCATGAATGCTGGCAAGGATCTGCACTGAAACATGTGGGGAACAACCTTCAAAATTATGATATTGTGCATGTGATTATTTATGATAAGGCTTCTCCAGCTCTGCATGGATCATGCTGAGATTGTCAAATCTAAATATTTGAATTATTTCACAGAGGGTCAAGATAAGCAGAACTTGGGGGAGGGAGAGTTGCTGATAAATGGAGAGGGCTGGTGTTGGGAAGTCATTTGTCTGTCACAGTGTAAGGTGGAGTTAAGTTTGTCCACTCCGTATTCTTCTAAAACAGCCAATCTTTTCAACACTGAATCTTTCAACAGGAACAATTGTGGTCATCTTGTCCAGCTCCTACTGTTGCTTTGGGGTGTGAGTCTTCCAGAACTAATTGTTTGAGCTAGATTTAGTACTTTTAGCACTAGGTTTAGCTTGAATAAGTCAGACACCCTCTTCCCACAAATTCTGGAAAGTCACTGTATCCCCAGTGATCAGTTTCTTCATTACTAAATGTTTCTTCTTTGAATTTGTATTACTTCAGCTGTTGGAAACCATTAAACATTTCTCTTACAGACTGAAAAAACTTCCTCTTAGTGATCAAACCCACTCCACAGATTTAGTTCAGGGGCAAACCAACTCTTTGCAAAATGCAAAGCTTGTTTTCATAAAAGCAGAATCTCCTGAAGCAGGAACTCACTACTTCCTTTTCCCTTGTCTTTTTTTTCTCCCTTTATGTAACATTCTGGTGTCTTCAGCTCCAAAGTGCAAAGAACGTTTCCTGGATATTTCTGATAAGCTGTGCAGGAGTTGTAAATTCTCAGTAACTCTTTAAAGATGCAGTTTGTCTGGCTAATGCTGAGCAAGCAATTTAAATCCTCTAGGAGACACTGTGACTTCTGTGTTAGTTCTGAGAACTTTCATCAAGATTGTGTTTCCTGCTAGTTGCTGGGAACTTAGTAGCACAGACATCATTGCCTTTCGTCTTTAGAGACCATCAGTTTGTCATCTTTTAATTACTGGAGCAGTGAGATAATATTTATGCACTTTTTTTCTAGCATATTTATATAGAGAGAAGATACAGTGAAGAGGGAGAGATCAGCACATCCTTATCTTTTTGCTGATTTTTTATGCCATTTTAGAGAAAATCCCTTGCTAGCATGATTCCCTTTCTCCCCCTGCTGTCACCACCTCTCATTGAGATTTCCCTTCAGGTCACTTCATGAATAAACCAGTTGTGCTCCCAGCTGTGGGAGAATTCATGAACAAGATGGGTGTCCTCCCTCCAGCCCCCTAAATGTGTGCAGGCTCATGATAGCTGGCCAAATACCTTTGTCTTCACAGAACAGGGCAGGATAACACATGGTGAAACAGAACTGTTTAGTTTACATAATTTGCATGTAGCAATGGCAATATAGATGCACAGTAAAGAGATAAAAGTACTTTTACGGGTATAGCAGAAACATTTCATGATCTAATGTTGTGTACTCCTATTGTGGGAAATCTGAACTGTGAGCGTTGGATTTAGACTTGGAAATGTAGATCTAGTAGAGATAGAAAGCAGACTGTTAAGCTAAGTTTTCCAAGCAATGCTTTCTCTGTTTTCTCTCCGGATTTGAGTTATCAAGTTAAAAATGCAAATGCCCTCTAACTGTGTTTTTATCTGATTTCCTTTTTGAAGTGATTTTGCTGACTTTTAGTCTGAACTCCTGCGGGCTTCCTTCTGGCATTGAACCTTACCTAATATGTGGATAACTACATTATATAGTCTCTTTAAAACATTTTAATTTCTTTTCTATTCCCTCCCCCTTCTTCTCATTTTTTCTTTCCAGAAATTGCCTTACAGCACGTTTCAATGTTCTTCCGATCAGAGCCAAAGTGGGAAGTGGTAGAACCATTAAAAGATATAGGTAAGAAGAGCATGTGTGTGTGAAAGCTTGTCTGATTTTTTTTCCCAACTATATGAGTTGTCCTGAGATTCCAATCTTAGGTCTGAGATTCCAATCTTAAGTCTTTGCTTACAGACCTTGTCCTGCTTGTGAGTTGTGTCATTTAGTAGTGTTTAATTAAAACTGCTGCTGCCTTTTTTTTTGTAGGCTGGCGAATACGTAAGAAATATTTCTTAATGAAGATAAAGAATCAACCAAAGGAACGGCTAGTGTTAAGCTGGGTATATATGCCTCATCTCATCCTCAAGTCTTTCTCAATTTCACTCAAGATTTTATTTTGACTACCATGTGTGAGTGACAGAGAGATAGGCTGAAGAGCTCAGGCTTTGAGAGAGCCTTGAAAGCCCTCAGGTGGATGTGTGGTGTGGGAATTTCTTGTGTTTCTTTCCTCTGGTGGCAAATCCAGTTTGCAGGTTTCTGTGCTTGGCCATTTGTTCCTAATCCTGCACCTCAGGCTCTTCAGTTGTAATGATGTGGGTGTTGACCGTATATAAATCTGCTCGCTGAAAATAACAAGATGATCCTTTTTAAAGTGATGAGTTTTCTTATTTAGATCTTTAGTTGTACTGACAAACTAATAAGCAAGAGAGGCACAAACTGGTCCTTTGACAACACTTGCTTTTGCTGCTGTGCTAAAATGTGGTGCCCCCTTAATTGTATGAGCAAAGCTGTTTGTGAGACTTCACTGGAGAGCACAGGTCACTAAAGCCTGCAATAGGAGAGGAGTTTTTCTTGGTGCAGAGGAAGGAGGTGTCTTATCAGTTCACAATGCACACAGTCCCTCAGTCTGGAGTTTGCAGAGTTCATTCAGTGGTAGTAATGAATGTCAGATCTGGGGGAGGAAAGAGGCAGTAATATTTATGGTCACACATTTTGTTTGTGAAACCATGACCTTATTCAGTCTCTTCAGGTTTCATTCTGTATGTGTGATTTTCTTGCTTGTTCTTCAAAATATACCATCAAACATCTGTCTTCATTTGCCAGAGAAGAATATAGATCACATTTTCTTTATGGAATGCAACATCTTTTATGATGCCATTCTTTTCCTATTTATTTCCAGGCTGATCTTGGCCCTGATAAGTACTTGTCTGACAAAGACTTACAGTATGCTGTGAAACTTCTTTCTTCCTGTTCTGTGAGTATTACTTGAAGACTTTTAAATTGTGCTCAGAAGTGCGTGTCAAGGATTGATCTTGCAGAAGCACATATAGCCTAGTAGACAGTTTGTAATTTTAGAGTTACTTTCATGTAAAGGTTTGCAAACCTTTTAATTACATTTCCCATATAATATGAAGCAACGTGTTCTCAGCACAAATAATAATACGGCGGGATTATTACAGGAGATTCAGTGTTGTGGTTAGTTTAATTTTTTTTCTTCTTGTGCAGTACTGTGAGGTCATGAGCTTTTATTTCAGCTCTTCAGCACTTTCAGGCTGTTAGGATAGTGCTGTCTAGGTGTAAGTGCTGGCCCATGAGCTGGGGATATTCTCAGGCAGCAGTGGATGAGGCAATGGAAGAACTGTTAGGTTTTCTCAGTTCTTTGAGCTTAAAAAAAGGAGTATCTCAGTAGAGGTACAATGAAAGCTGTACAATTTAAGCTCCTGTGCAATGCCACGCTATAAATCCAATAGGCATCTCTGCCTGAAAAACGGTCACTTTACTCCAAAAGGAGTTAAGGATGTTAAGCATGTGAGAGACTGGCTGAAAGGAATGGTATTTAAACTGGTAAATCTCTGTGCAGTCTTGGAGCTCAGCAGTTGCCCATAACAGGAGAGACTGAAAACCAGGCTGCTCAACCCCCAGCCACACTGAAACTGTTGTGTTAAAATAAGACACAAACAAGGGGTCTTCTCCTGACTAGCAATTTCAGTTGGTATATGTGTTGTATCTGTAATTTATTTCCAACTGTGCTCTCTCATTCGGTTTTGCAAAGTTGTTACAATAATTTCTGAAGACATAAAACTGTTATGACAGCTATTAATGCTGAATTTCCTTATGTGCCATAGTTGTATAAAACTGGGAATGAATTTATTAGCTTAGCATGACTTAAACCTGCAGTAAAGCTGCTCATGAATAAGTGCTGTATTCTTCATCTGTCTAAACTGCCAGTCTGTTTTGTTAAAAAAAAGATCGTGGATTTTCTCTTTTTAATTTATGTGCTAATTGAATTGAAACTTCTTAGTGAAGTTTTCTTTGCATGGGTTATTCAATGTCATTGACAGAATCCAATTTATTACTTTAAATATACAATTCAGGCAATCCTTTCCTGCTTGTTAATTGAACACAAATGAATTACAGAACTAGTCATCTAAAATTTACCTATGGTTTTCTTCTTTTGGTAGCATCCCTATATTTACAAAATCACTTTTGCCATTGCCAATGAATCTTCAGCACTGGTTATTAGACCATTCAGTGAAAAAGGGACACTCAAGGACCTTATTTATAAGGTAATGTCTATCCCCCACCCCCGACTCAAATGGCAGAATGTTTGCTGGAATGACCATAGCGTGTCTTTTATAAAAGTGTTTGCCATCTATTACTGAGCAAACTAAGACAAATACTGACTTTTCTCAGCATGATTTCAATATGTGTATTTTTTTTAAAGGCAAAGCCAAAAGACCCATTCTTGAAGAAGTATTGCAATCCTAAAAAAATTCAAGGTCTTGAGCTTCAGCAAATAAAAACGTATGGAAGGCAAATATTAGAGGTACTTTTTTTCTTTGCTTTATTTACCTGCCTTTATGGTTTTTTTTTTTTTGAGGCCAACTGGTTTAGCTAGAAAAGTAGACAAACTTTTGAGCACAGAAGCTTTATTTCAGCAGCAGACTTCAAAGGTAAATGTGAGTTGAGATTAGCTGCTGAGAGTTGAATTTAGATATGTATGTGTGAGACCATTTATGACCAAAAAAAAGAAAAAAGCAATTGGTGCATGTGGAGTTTAAGTGGGAGAGAGGTGATAATGTAGTTTTTTCCTTATGTGCAAAGGAAAAGAAGTAATTCTTACACTGCAGAACATGTGCCATAAATTCATGGTCATCAATGTGTTTTTAAAATTTTTTTGATTCAAACTATTATATTCAGTAGAATTGTGAATTTCAGTTTCCAGATCTCTTTTAGGAGGTGGCTGCTTTGAAGATCAGCATCAAATGTTTGTTTTGTGTGAAGTGTTACCAGTGAAATGGGGACGAATAGACAGGCAAAGATAATGTGGAAGATCAAGTTGAGCAAGCATTCCAAATGGGGGCCTCATTTATTATGAATCTGCTGTAGTACTGGAGGATTTAAGCTGATGATCTTATGACCTTGAGATCATCAGAGCATCTTGTGACAGTGCTCCTGTATTGGATTTTTTTTCAGGTATTAAAATTCTTACATGAGAAAGGATTTCCTTACGGCCATCTTCACTCTGCCAATGTGATGTTGGATGGGGATACCTGCAAGTTACTGGATCTTGAAAATTCCTTGTTGGGACTTCCATCATTTTATCGATCATACTTTTCACAGTTTCGGAAAATTAATGTAAGATTCAGACAATTATTTCAACCAAGTCTAATGCATCTCTTTATCCTCAACCTCTGTTTGTGGAGAACTGACTAGAATGAAAAAACCTCTCTCAAGCCCCTTTTTTTAACCTGAGTTTTTCTCCATCAAATTGCTTCTCTGCTTCCTCCAAATCACTCTTTGGCTGCACAGCAGTTTTGTTGCAGCACTCTGGAGTGAGGCTGAGGCCAAAGGTAAGCAGGTAAAAGGGGAGTGCAGGTGAGTGTTTTTGTGATAACAGTGCTGGCACAAATAGAAGTACAGTGCAGTTGTTTTAAGATCTCTTTCCACCCTGGTCTTATATTTCATGGGAATGTGCTTACTGTCTATCACACGTTCTCACTTATATGTCTGTCCAGTGAGCACAACTTATTACTTGTGCTTAGGTGGGAGTATTAATCAGCCTTGTCTTTGGTGGATACTGTGTGAAAATTGATGAGATGCTTGCAGATGTCTAGCTATTCAAAACTGGTTTTTATTTGTTTGAAGGGTGTCTGTTAACTGCGGGCTTGCAAAGCAAAATATTATCTTCCTGCAAAAGTATGAAAACAAATTTACCCTGCTGCAGCAATCCAGCAGCATCTTGCCCTGCCTTTAGGCTCTCATTGTAATAAATTCCATACAGCATCACGAGATAGCTGCTTGCTGACCTTGCTAAACAAGTTCTGCTGTGTTGTCAAAGAAACGATCAAAAGTTCATGGTTAGCCCAAATCTGTTAGTGCCATCAAGGCTCTGAGCCTCTTCCGGTAAGAGGAGCCCCTTCTGTTTAAACACAGTTTAGAAATCTTGGAAATATGCTGTCTGGGAGCTTAGAGTGTGTGTACAGCTTGCACAAACCTAAGGAAGAGCAAGGGAGGCTTTCCTAGGTTTGTTTGATATGCACTTTTTTCTGTCTTTTTACCTGTAAAGTGGCAGCAGGTCCTCTTATGAACCTCATTCTCTGCTGTTTGACTTAGCTCAGAAAATGGACTTGGTTGGGATTTCTGTCACCATGTGGCTTTCTAAACTGCTGTAGGAAAAGAGCTTACAACTTCACACATTTTCACAGAACTTGACTATACTGCTGTCGCATTTTTATCATCACACACAGGAAGACAGTGGTGGCTGCTTTAGCTTGAGGCGTGAAGATTTCATTTGAGCAACAGTTACACTGGGAAATGGTTGTGGTTAAGAACTGTCTTAGTGGTTCCTCTTTTCTATCTTCACATGCAAAATCACTGTTTTTCTGCAACGGGTTAACCAGTCGTGAAAAACTAACAAGTTGTGGCTTTATTTTTTTTTTTTGTTCCTCCACAGACTTTAGAAGGTGTTGACGTACATTGCTTTGGACACTTACTGTATGAAATGACGTATGGAAGACCCCCAGACACGATTCCAGTAGAGAGCTTCCCCCCTGCACCCTCAGTGTTTGTTGGTTAGTATGCAGTGGAGAACATCTCAGTCACAGCTTCCCAGGTGCACTCTTAACTTTTACCCAAGCTAAAGTGCTGTGAAATATCAGCCTGAGATCTTTGCAGCCTGTGACCAGAAAGAATTAATACTTTGGTCAAAGAGAAAATGTGTTCTTCATGAAATATATGTAGTGTATAAGTAAAACCTTTCTTTTTGTTTTTTAGCTGAGTAATAAAGCAGTGTTTAGTAAGTAATGAGATGCCTGGATTCCCTTGCCTTATGTCTAACATTCTTGAAAAGTTTGTGTGTGTAATAGTAACACTATAATAAAAAACACATGCCACAGGGCTTCATCACTGCTTGATTGATGCAATACTTAGGGGAACATCACACAGACATTCACTCTAAATCATTTGCTGTCCTGCCGTGCAAAAATGTGTTCATTTTCATGCTTGCTTTGGTAGTGTCAGTGTTGGAATCCATTCTGACCTGTGAAGCTATGAAGAATGGCATGCCAACTGTCTCACGGCTCTTACAGATGCCGTAAGTCCTGTTCTACTTGTTTTATATTCATAGTAATGTTTTTAATTATTTCAGGAGGAGGAGCTTTTTTGCTCTTGTTTCTTTTTAGAAAGGTTTGCTCCTTGTTCTGAGGGATGTGTCCCAAATGAAGCTTTAAAATTGATAGGCTGTATAGAATCCGTCCCCTATGAACATGATGAATGTGCTTTTAGCATTTCTTTGTCTCTTGCTGTTTTGGAGCTGTTATAAATGCACTTTAGTTAGCATGATTTAAATTAATCCAGCTATTAAAGTAATGCAAGCATGATTAAGATCATGTACAGATTGATTTAAAAGATTTAGAATAAGTCTTTTTGCATGTCTCCTTCAGTAGATTTTGCTATCAGTTTACTTATGACTGGCAAAATAGATCTCTTGCTTTGCTCAGCAGTGACATTTAGACTTGTTCTGAGGATGAAATGTTGTTTTAGAAGTTCTGTCTGGTTTCTTGCAGGGTTGGCTTAGGGATTCTCTGAAGCATAGACAGACTAAATTTCCTGAACAGGCTGTCCTCCCAGAATGCAGTGAAGGAGTGAGGGCAGGTGGGGGCAGTGGGGCAAGGCCGGGGTGCAGGAAGGGAGCATTGTCAGTGTGTGACTGAGTGGAGATCACACCTGTCTGTAGGGCCACACTGCCTGCACTTGGGACACAGCATTTCCAGGGAATTTGCTGCCTCTATACCGTGACATGTCACCAGCACGTGGAGCCACGGAACCACAGTTCTGTTGGGAGGTTCTTTTATTTTTCCTAATGTGAGATGCCAGAGTCAGGACCTAATAAATGGCAGATTGTCCATACCTAAATCTGGGTCTGATCTCACAACACAGATTGCAGTGCATTTAGAACATGCTCTCAGGTTCAAATTTCCTGGTTGGGAGTCACTGCAGCCTTCAATTCCTTCTCCTCCTCCTCCTTCAAGGAGGTGGAAGGTGGAGAGAAGACTGTAAACAGGGGAGAAATACTGTAAGAAAACTCTGTGAATAGAGGAATATACAAGTCTTAAAAGATGTTGAACAAACGATCCATGCCCAGCTGCATCTGATATTTAAGATAATATACTACATCCCCTTCATACCAATATTCCTCACAAAATGTTCTACGTAGATGTGCAATGGAATGAATGTAATTAAAAGCAATTAATGTAATTTAAATACCTATTTATTACAGCCATACAAACTATGACTTCTCTTAATTTCATAAGAACATGTAATCAGAAAGGGTCAGAAAGCCCTGTAAACAAGGATGAATTGTCATGGTTTTTTAAAAATATTTTAAAATCTGCTTTATTTTTGCATTTTTCATGGAATACTCTCCTTAATGAACTTGATTCTAGACTTGAGTTTGTTTTCACTAGTATAAGCCTGGGATGATTTTCCATAGTGAACAGCAACAAAAGATCTCAGAAATATTTATCTTGGAGCCAGGTTTGAGATCTCTCTGGGACAGTTTTCTAGTATGTTCTCCAGGACTAAGTATCTTGAAATGGAATAACCGGTTTATTTTCAGACTACCATTGCCCTCTAGTGTCTTTGTTTTGGATGGAAAAGGATTAATCATTGCTGCTGACACCATAGGGGGGAGAACAAAAATATTAGATTATTTACTTTAGTTGCCTTTTGCAGAGTACAAGCAAGAATGCAGATATTCTCAAATGTTAAGTTCACTCAATTGACTTTTCACATGTTTCTTGTTAATACTAAAACAATAGTTGGGCTAAGAGAATTTTCCTAACAAGAACAATGATTTTGCATAGGTAAAATTTAGAATAAAATCTCTGGAAATCTATTGTAATTAAAGAAGCCATATATTTTTAAGGAAAAGGTGGGGGTTTTTTTTGGGGGGAACCCTTCTTAGCCTTTGATATTGTACCTGTCGTAGCAATTTTCAAAAGATCTCAGATAAACTTGCTTTCTTCTGCCATCAGTAATGACTACATGCTGAGGGTTGGATGCTGCTAATATTACAGCAGTGCTTGGAAAATAAAAAGCAGTACATAAAAACCTGTGGAAAAAAACCAAACTGTGGCCTAGGGATGAGGACAGAGAAGGAAAGGAAGAAAGAGGGGTTTAAACGAACGGTACCAGTAGCATTTTTCTGTGGTTTTGCCTATCTCTTGGGAATAATATTCCTCTCTTTTTATCCACTCACAGATTATTCAGTGACGTCCTGCTAACAAACTCTGAGAAACCACAGTTTAAGGTAGAGTTGAACATTGGTTTGCTGGTGTTTATGGAAGTGCCAGCCTGTGTTATCTACACATTAATTGACAGAGAGGGTAGAGGAGAACGAGCTTTATTTGCCTTTATGGCTCTTGCCAGCAGTATTTGGATTCCAGTGCTGAATTGTATCCTTAGAAAGGGGCCATGATGTGACCCATGAGTGTTCAAGTTGCTGTCCTGGAGCCCCTTTGTGTAGCTAATGATGATGCTCTATCTGAGCAGAGGCTGCCAAGTAATGTGGGTGCCTTGCAGTGAGAGGAGCTGTTTTTGCTACGTGAGCCCATCAGCACATTGCTGCCAGCTCCAGTGCTGGGATGTTTTGGGAGCCACATCTGGTCCCACTGGGGAGCTGCCCCAGGGCACTTCTCCTGGAAGACACGTGCCATGTGTCCTGTCAGCCTCATGGCAGTTTGGGGATGTGACTGGAGTATCAAAACGGTCACCTGTCCCTGTCTTTACAGTTTCTTTGTCCCTGCTGTTATTTCTGAGTGGAAAAACATGCATCTAGAGTCTTATTTTCTATTCACTAAAGGAATGGTGCCAGAACTTGGGGCTTTAGATGAGCAATGTGATGAGTGGTGAGGTGCGAGCAGTCAAGTTTTGTTTTCCTTTATCACAATTTGTGCTATGTTTTTGTTCCCCATTCTGTATTAGATTCCTACCAAGCTAAAAGAGGCATTGAAAGTCTCCAAGGAATGCATAGAAAAGCGGTTAACAGAAGAACAGAAATTGGTAATGTCTGCATTTCTGTATTTCCTACAGAAATTTCATTTCCTCCTATCATTTTTACATGCAGAAAACGAGTTTTTACTCAAAAGTGATTTTGAGTAATGTAGGCTTTCTTCAGCAGATTTGCTTTTCCAAAAATGCAGTATGAGAACTTGTAGAACAGCTGCTGACTGTGTGGCATTTCACTGTTTTAGGTGATGCAGCTTCACAGGCAGTGGCTCCCAAGTTAAAGGATAATTTTGACTGCAGTATGAACCTCCATCCTTTACCAGTAACAGTAAAGATAAAAACTAAAAATGAAAAAATAAATCTAATTAACTGACTACAGCATATTTTCTTGTACCTCAAATGTGTTGCTTGAAAACATTTAAGATCTTAACATGGTTCTTTTTCCAATTTTTCCTTCATTTTGAAGATTCACCAGCACAGAAGGCTGACAAGAGCTCAATCTCATCATGGCTCTGAAGAAGAAAAAAAGAAAAGGAAGATCTTAGCACGAAAAGTAAGAAATATTTAAGTGGGTTTCTCACGCAGAAAAAGATGTGTATATTTTTTGAATGTGTAGCATGGACAGGTTTGGCCACAGGTGCGTGGCTCTGTTCTATCCTGTGTTTTTCTGTGCTACTTCCCGATTGTTTTCACTTCTGTAACTAAGCTATGTATTTACTGAAACGTTGAAGTTACAATGGTAGCTGACTTGCAAATTGCTTTAACCCGTGAGAGGTTGCTGTATGCACCCAGTCTTGGTTAACAGCTCATGCACAGACGAGCTGCTGTGCTGCTTCCCAGGGAGGGCACTGGAGCCTGTTTCAGTCTGCTCCTGCAGCACTGTCTGCTTTGCTCTTCCTCTCTGGTGGGTCAGTTTTCTGCCTTTCCCTTGGGGTCAGAGGGCACTGGAGTGGCTCTGATGCCTGCCTGGAGATACTTGAGCACACAACAGCCTTGCTGCTCTTGTCAGCATGGGTTGGGGATGGGGGAGAGGAAAGCTGGGCATTGATAAACCTTGTGTGATACAGTAGATGGCTGTTATGAATCTGTTTGTCAGTTCAGTCCTTATCACAAAAACTGATTATTCATTCCCATCTTCTATTTCCTCTGCTTCCTTTCAAAGAAGTCAAAACGTTCTGCCTATGAAAGTGGGGAAGAACACTCAGCAAAATACAGCAACTCAAATAACTCAGGTAACTACAGAGAGAAAAGTTTGCTTCTAAACATCTGTGTAATTTTTTTGTTGTTATTGTCATTTTCTATCTGAAAACATCCAGGATTACGATCAGTTTACATGCTAATATTGGACTGCCAAAGCCTGATAGCCACTGCTTTGGGTATTTAATAATAGATAAATTAAGGGCTTAAAAATATTGTCAACGTTAGATTTGCAGCTGCTTAATTTGAAGTAATGTTTCTCTCTTCTGTGCCTCATTCTTAAAACAAAACAAAACAAAACAACAAACCCAAGCCAATCAGTCTCTTTATTGAGACTATATTTGAGTTGAATAACAATATTCATTATTTAGGCTATTTAAAAATGGAGTCTTCAGGGAGACTCTTTATGGTGATCTGTATTACACAGTAAGGTGTAATGATGAATGAGAAAATTATCCGTTTAATTGCTGCTTCAGTGCCAAATTCTGAAACAACAGAGCCTTTGACAGGTCTTCATTTAGTTAAAAGGTATGGAGCAGATAAAAGTTGACTTGCTTTGCTAAAATGTGTCCAAAAGCAGCTTGTTGTGGAGTAGTTGGATATCAGAGTAACTTGTGAAGTAGAGCAACTGACTGAATATCATCTCTTAGGAGAGATGGGTGCCATCCATGCAGTGGCACAACTTTTAAGGGGAACAGAATTTGGACACTGAAACCAAACAGCCCAAGCAGCAGAAAAAAAAAAGTGTTTCCCAGAGAGGAATAGTGTTGAGTGCACTTCCTGTGTGTTTGGAGATCCTCTGATGCTCTGTACTGTAAAGCTGCTCTGTTCAGATTGGGTCCAAGTGACACTCTTCCTATGAATGGGAATCTTTCCCAAGATTTCAATGGAAGGATTGGATCTTCAATGAATAAAGTTGGCCTGTTTCCAGCAATCTGTCTTATCTGACTGTTGAGCTGCTGTGTCACAGCTGTAGTTACTAGACTGTTGTTTTATTTAGCAGGCTCTGGGGCAAGTTCCCCGTTAACATCTCCATCATCCCCCACTCCGCCCTCTACAGCAGGTAAGTTCAAGACTCATTATTTATGGTTTTGTTTTTTTTTAAATTGCCCTCTGCTCCTCAGTGGTGAGTGTTTTTTCCAGGGATGACTAAGGGATGGTGGTTTTCAAGGATGGAACACAGAGATGACAGTTATCTTGTGTCAGCCTGTGTGTGGGCATGTGCTCTCATTTGAGGACCATTTAATAATCTCTCCTGAGATATACATGATATGATTTATCCATAGAGTGTAAGTGCTTGCTTCAAAGTCTTTTTTACTCCAGGCCTACTGACAGTGCTACTTTCCAGACATTTTTTGGGCCTCATGTTGCAGTATGTATTTGTTCTGGTGTTAATGGTCTGTTAATTTTGAAATACTGCTTGCTCATCCCTTGTGTATTGTCTCTTTACTCCTGTACTGCTGTGATGTATTTTCAGAAATTTTGGGTGCGACAAATTCAGTGGTTTAGGCTGTGAAAATCTCCCCAATCAGCCCATTGATAACCCACTAGAGCTGGTAGAAACAAGACAGAGACTGATTTGGGTTAGAAATAATATCTTTATTATTTTTGACCAGTTCTGTTTTTCAGTTTTCAGGGTAGCTGTGCAGACGTTTGCTAATGTTTAGGACAGGGGATGCAAAGCGGTGAAGAATCTGCTTGAGTGAGCAATAAAGATACTCTGGAATTTTGATTACAAATCTGAGTATTGAGCAATAGTGGATGTTCTTCAGGCTGAAAGGCTGGAAGAGGAGCACTGGCAAACATTTCTAGAGGGGAAGCAGTCCATAGCATTGCGGTTTCTTATGGTGACTCATGCCATAGGATTTCCAGTCCCAGGAACTTTCTACACAGCACAACTCAGTAACTGAAGTGATGCAATCAAATTTGTGTTTGCTGTGAATGATCTTCCAAAGGACACTGCAGTCTGTGTGATGTAATTCAAATCAGTCATGCTGAAATTCAAATTAGTAATTTCTCCTTCAAGTTGAGGGTATGAGAAATGTGTATCTTAGGAACTAACTTCTCCCAGTTAGCCTAAACAAAATAATTACTGTTATTGTGTTGCACAGTAACAGTGCTGCTCTCAGGATGCACCCACTGTTAGCTGGAAGGTTTGTTGCAAGTTCTGTGTGCTTTAATAAAGAAGTAGCTGAAAATGCCAAAGAAAACCTCATGCCTCCAAAATGGACGCATGTTTAGCAAACAATTTTTTGTTTTTGCAATAAAACTACCTTTCGGTTATGTTTTAACTTGGACTTGTTGGAACTTGGTTGAAAGCTTTTTCAAGTTTTAAGTATGTGATGCAGGTTTATGTGTTGATGTGACTCAAATGGCTAAAAAATGGCTCAAGTTTGGGCTCAAAACTTGTCTCTGTTCAAACCAGATTGTCACAGTGTCTTGTTCACCTTGCTGCCAGTGTGCTCCTGATGACTTGTGGTGATCAACCCCATCTGACCCGGTGCACGTGGCCCTACCTGCATTCATGGGAAAGGGCTTCAGTGAGCTGATGGCTTGGATGTTGTTTATGAGGTGTAAAGGCAAGCGGCACATTTTCAGGAATGCTTTTGTGAGTGGAATTCACAGAAGAAATTTCAGATATTAGTTCTAAGAGAAAACTAGTGTGCTGAATTTTTTCACCAGCAGTGTTGTAGTTTTAGCCGTTCTAAGCAGGTGTGGTACTACTGGCTCAGTGAAAGAGACCCACTGGCCCCATGGTAGGACTGTGACAAGTGATGCCTTTGTAGCTGGTATCTCTCTCTTCCAGTTTCTGTGTACTTACTAAGGGTATTTACCTCTAAACCAAAATTGTTTGTGGGTATCAGTGTGGTGAGGTGATTCTCAAAAGGGCATTGAGGCTTTCAGTCTGTCTAGTATGGTTTGGTTGTGGTCGTGTTAGAATCAGGGCATCTCAAAGCATCCTGGTGATGTGATGCCAAGGCAAAATGGAGGCTGATGAGGAAAAGTGCACCCAGCAGAAGCTCTTGCCATCATTTGGTAACCAACCAAACCAGTGTGATGTGTGGCTCTGTGCAGAGCCAGAGACACTGACCAAAGGGGAGCGGGCTCCAGACTGACATGTCCTGGGGAAGGAACCTGTTCAGGGGTTTTCTCACACGTTGAAAGGTGCTTTGTCTCTGAACAAAGGCCTTGTGAGATGTGGCTTGCACCAGAGTGCTTGGTATAGTCGATGGAAGACAGACTAAGAAATAAAATGGTGGTTGGCTTTTACTGTCTTTGTAATGGCAGCTGCAGCTGTAGGATTGAGTGCATGGCCTGCTTTGAGGGGAAAGGTGTCCACTGGAAACATCGGCTCTTATGGGCTGCTGTCATTGGTGAGAATGTTTTGGGCTGGTGGTGTTGCAGATACTTGGCTAAATAACATCTTTGAAGGACATTGGTTAGATCATGGCAAGTGATTCTAATGCAACATCCTGTGTTTCTGATGTTCTCCCTTGAAGTTCTGGTTCTTTTTTTCTCCACAGTTCTTTGCTTCCTTGAAAATCTGTTTTGTTGTCTTTGTGGATATGAGTTATGGCTAGGATCAGAAGAGATGCAGAATGCTGTGATATGGGTTATTTAAAACTTCACTGAATCTTCTCTAAAGCTAAAAAGCCCATAAAATATCAGCATGATGTTTTACAACAGAGAAAGGTTTGTGGGGTGTTACTTTTGCTTTCCTGGGCTTTCCTGCAAGAACAAAGTGAGAGTTGTACTTAACAATCTTTGTCTGTGCCAATTATTCTAAACCCTTCAGCACAACATATGTTTCATTGGCACCCATATGGTGCATCTTGCCTGTCCTTCACCTTTCTGTAAGAGAATTTGAATGCTTTAGGAAGTGCTTTTCCCGAGTTTCTCTGACCCATAGGTGTAAATACAGGTGTTAATACAGCAGGAAGTGTTCCTTGAACTGAATGGATTTCGTCTCCTATGGCTAATCTCCCTGCAGATTTCTTGCTAAATTTCTCTAAATGCACTTTAATCCTGTAAAGGCTGAATTATGGCATGTGCAGCTGGAAGCATGTGTGCTGTATTTGTTGATAAAGTATAATAATGCCTAGAGCGTGGAAAATAGTGGTTCATTATTCAGAATTGGACAAAGTATTGTAAATATGTATTGAAGTAGTCAATCCGCTGTCCTCGTATTTGTCAGTGAATAAGAATGTATTGACTTTTGTACTAACTTTTCAGCTAACAGTATCTGTTTTTCTCACTTTGACACGAGAACCGGATGATTAACTTGTGTCCTCTTTCTTTCTCTGCTGTCTTCAATAGAGCATGCATCATTTTGAACGTGAATTTTCGGAAAAGTAAGCTAATGCTGATTTATCTCTTTAAAGATGCTCTGTTTCTGAATGGGAAAGTTGAATGCAAATCTTGAATTTACTTAGTATTGGGAGGGAGTAGAAGAAAAAAATCTGAATGTTCCTACATATTATTTTAATGAAATACAGCATCTTTAAAACCTCACTAAAATGATTTTCTTTGTTCGCATCCCATTCTCAGCCAAGTTTTTAATGCTGTTTGCACAATTACTGTCACTTTAAATTCATAATTAAGTTTTTGTTTCAATTCAGGCATCAAGTTTACAGCATCTGATTTACTTCCTATTCCTTTTAACACACTCTTTTAACAAAAATGTCCCTGTAAAAACCCTTGGTAAGTTCTTGTTTGAGTGTTTTATTCTTACTACTGCATGAATGAGTAGAATGTGTGTGTGCAGGCAATGTCTTCCAACGTGTGTATTGGAAAGGCTGTTGCTGACAACTGAGCACTTGTCTTCAGTGTTTTCTTTCTAGTAAATATAGGAAAATATATCACTGTTGGGCAGAACAGTTTAATCTGTACATGTAACTACATATGAGTACACGTGTGTGAACTCAGATGTCCTTTTCACCACTCATGTCAAGAAGGGAAGGACAGCTTGGTTTGGATTGACTAACTGAAATGAATGGATATGAAGATTTTTGGAATCACGCTCTTAATTACCAGGTTCAATATGTAATGCTCTTGACTAGTCACATACCATTCTGAGCCCTGTATTTACGTTTTAAGGCAGAGTTCAGGTGTAAGAGTATCATTGTCTGTTATCAGTCTCACAAGAGTTTTATTGCATGATGTTGTCAGCAGCTCAATTTCAATAATAGTGAGTCTTGAGGAATTTGACAATTTTCCAGGAAGGAAGGTGACCTCTCCCCCTACACTTCCCTGTCTTTTCTACCCAAAATAACCAGACCAAAATTTGAAGATAGACATGGAATCTTGGCCCAATCATACTAAGTCATCCAAGCATTTTGTGTCGTTTTTGCCCCGCCCCCTGTCAAACATGTGCCTTCTTCCACTGCACGTGTTACCGTTGTATTTGTATTCCCTGCAGTCCTGGCTGCTGTTTTTGTGGTCAATTCCCTATTGCATCTTGTACAGCTACTTGCATAGCCTCTTCAGCCTCACCTTGCAATTCCAGACAAAAATCTTGTCTTTGTTCTCTGCAGTTCTTGGCATCTCTTTGAAGCCATTTAATCTCTGAGTAGCTGCTCTTGCTGCTCTTACAGCAGCTCACCTGATCTGTTTGGGGACAGGTTGGTGTGCCAGTCCTATAGCTTCTGCTCTGACCACTTCAGTCATAAAATGGTTACTTGAACTATTCTTGGTCTTGTTCTTCCTTTGGCAAAGTGCCAAGTTTTCTTTTCCTGGCAGTCCATCCATGTAAGAAACAGGACTCTGACCCAGGGAATGGTTTTCCAGTATTTCTAAAAGTAAATAGACTTACATCTTTGGCAAGTGTAAAAAGCAGATTTGGGTAAGTTAGAAGCCAGTGTGTTTTGTTTTGATTATTTCAGAGAACAGTTGATCCACATGCACCAGGAACATTAAATTGTTTCAGTTGATCTCTGGTATTTCTGTTAGGACTTGAGTATTTCCTCTGGAAGGGAAGAGAGTGAATATGAGCTCAATATGTACTTCCATGTTTTGTTTTCACAAAAGGCTTTCATGCCAATAAGAATTTCTCCTGAAGAGCTGGAATTGCTACAATCACAGCACATACTAATGTACGATGGCAAAATTGGACACTGTGTGAATACTTTGCATTTTGAGCTTGATTCCATATGAGAGAAGTCTCTCTTCAAAGACTAGTACAAACAGAAAATGAGGGAGCTTTGAGTTATGTCTTTCATGTAGTAGTGTAACTGCTTAATAACAGCAGTTATGTTTTTACTGCTACTTTTTAGTCTGAAAACAAGTGTTAGTGAGGAATTGAGAGAGAAATGGAGCACAGAGAACTTTTGTCTGCTTTTTTTCCTGTAGTTAAGCCTTATCCATTATCAAATACCTCTTGAGTCTGTGTGGCATAATGTCCTTCAACTGCTTGGTTTTTTCTCACTTCATAGCAAGCAGTTCTACTTCAGTAACCAGTGTCTTGGTTGCCCTCATGTTGTTTTGCTTTGTGCAGTATCTTTCTTACCAGTATATTTCTCCTTGTAGGTTAGAGCTACTGGAAGCAAGTGTTAGAATATAGGTGCCATTTACCTCTCTAGTCTTCATGTGGAACAAGTATGATCTAGATGATGGAGTTAAAATTCACTGCTGAATAGTTCTAAGATACTAATCATTATGCCCCTACTCCTTCCAGAATATATGAGACAAGACAGGCCTATTATTCCTATACTTGTGTAGAAATGATGGTGCAATGTGCAGCAGCAGAGCTGCCCAAGGTCAGGGTGTTTGGCAGAGCAGCCTAGGGCAAATTAGGCCACTTGCCTGGATCTAAACTGCCAGAAAGCACCTCCATGCAGGCCCTCACTGCTGGACTAGCTCCCCACATGCACTGTGTGGGCTCTGGCTTTCCAGGGAGTCAGGATGTGGAGGCTGAGGAATGATGATAAGCACACAGTGAATGCACAACTGGGGTGAAGAGCAAAGGCCACAGTGTAAAGGTGGCTGGTGGGAACAGGAGAGGCAGGCAAAAGGTGTGTGTCATAGTGTTGTGGCTCATTCAGTCTGTCAAAGAAGCATTTGTTGCAACATGTTTGACGAAAGTGGACAGCGGAAGTGTAAAACACTTCCAGAAAACTCTATCTGCAGTTAGTACTTTAAAAATGGACTATAATCTAACCAAGCAAAATGGTCATCACAAATACTACAGTGATGTGGTCCTTCAAAGAACATAAAGTGTGTTAAGGAAGAAAGAACAGGTAGTAAAATTTGCTTCCAGTCTCTGTTACTGTTCATGTCCCAGAAAACAAACTGCTTTACAAGGGACAAACAAGAGTGGGGAAGTCCCATTAAGTGATCTCCATTTTCTTCAGATCACATTTGAGTCACGTTTTACATCAGGCTTCATTTTAGAAGTGTCTCAGATGACACAACTCACCTGCAGATAGAGGAATTTGATCACTTGGGCATTTCCCATCTGTTCTGTTCTTCACACTCCACTGGCATTCAAGGGATGATGTGAGTAGTGCAGGACTGACCAAGTCCAGCCAAGCAGCCACAGTCCTCTGTGGCAGGACACCCCCGGCATAATCAAACTGTATCTTCTCTCCCTGGCTCAACAGGAGCATCGTCCATACCCCTAGCACCGCCTCCGCCGCCCCTGCCACCAGCAGCTCCTCCCCTGAGTGCAGAGGTGCCAACGCCGCAGCCCGTCAGTGCGAGCCGGGGAGCCTTGCTCAGCTCCATCCAAAACTTTCAGAAAGGAACTCTGAAGAAAACACAGACATGCGACTACAGTGCTCCCAGGATCAGCTGAGGCCACTGGTCACTCCAGGATTGAATTCCCTCTCCCCCTCCTGTGCTGACCCTCCTGACCAGCAACTGACCCAGCAGCACCGACCATGCTGGAGCTCCGTTCTCCCCGATTTCAGCTTTCCTCGAGCAGCAGCACTGCCCTGCCTGAATTGCCTCCCCATGCTGTGCTAAGTACTCCATTCTTTACTTGGGTTTCAATTGTGTTCTCTGGCTACAGTTGCAAGGGTACAGCAGCTTCAATATAGCTGAATACAAATCCGAAAATAGGAATGACCATGATGATGCATTTTTTCCTAATTCTATTCCACCCTTTTTTTCAAATTACAGGGATGTAGTTTTAGACTGCTCAGTTTTTCAACTCTTTCCATGCACTTGTAACTCATTGTAATTCTTGCTGCATTGAATCAACAAGTTTTGTTTTCGATAATCCAACCTTTAATGCATACTGCACAGGTGAGGGAACTGGAGAATTAAATCTTATTCCCACCATATTTGCTGGTGGAGTTAAAATGCTGTCTCATTAAGCTTGTTTAAATGGACATCCTACCTGCCACTCCAAGGGAAAGTGTTTTTAAATGAGGAAATGGTTGAAATGGGAGTTAATAGGGCACTGGGATGTTATTCTTGATTTAGTTAAATGCAAAGTTACTTCAAGTTAATTCTACAGTTTAAACTTTATTGAAAGATCCTTTTTGATTTAAAACCTTAAACAAATTGCACTTTAAAGGATTATAGATAATCCATTTTTTTAAATTCAAGTACATCAGTGTTTGTTACTATGCAGAGAATGTCTGTACAAAGTTTCATGTAACCTGTGATATCCAGTCATTTTTATTAAAATGTTAATGGAATTCCTTCAGTGGTGTGTGGTGGGTATGTTCAGCTGGGATTGGCACCTGCAAGCCACACTTCCTAAGAACCTAACAGCACCTGTGCTAAAAGGAATACCCCAAAAGGTATTCCTGGCCCTTCCCTGAAACAGGATCTGAGCTCTTCTGGCTGTTTACTGAAGTATGTCCTCTCCACCTGTTCCCTGGGAAGCCACTGACCTGGGGTGCAGAGCAGGCCCTGCTGCACAGGCCCCTCAGGGCAACTTTCCCTCTGTACCAGAAGCTGCTGAGGGGAGCCTGGCAGAGCATCCCTGCCTGGCAGGACTAGCACTCAGCCAAACCCTGGGATGTGGTGTCCTGCCAAAAGGCTGCCTTGACTGCTCCCCAGCTCTTCACACAGTCTGCACATCTGCTGCTTCAGACAGGCTCAGTACAGCTGAATAAAGGAACTCATTTTGTACTGCAAGACCTACAGTGGGAACATGCTGTTGTCAGCCCAGGCAAGGAGTTACAGACACCCACAAGGAGCTGAGCCATAAAAGCAAAGCATCTGGACATGCATTTTTTTAATCACTCTATGCGACGAGGAAAAGTTAGGTAGTGTTTCCCATCTCATACTGAAGAGGATCAGGATCTTTATTTAAGCTCTTGTGCAGAAGCCTTTCTGCATGTGTGGAGCTCTCTTCAAACCAAACAGGGTCATCACCTCCTAACCCACACTGTGGGCTGCCACAGCCTCTGTGTAGAGCTGCACTGGCAGGCAGGGCTTCACCCATCCAGTCTGGTCATTCCTTCTAATAGGCCTTGTGACCATGGGCTCCTGCAGCTGTACAGCACTGGGGGCCTGCTCTTGCTCTCTGCAGTTCTGCACTAAACCACTGCTCCAGCGGGTTTGACACAGCTCCTCTGGTACTTAAAGCCAAGCAAAAACTGAGGATTTTTTCCTCACTCTGAATTTAGAATGGTATTTCTCCACAAACAGTAGCACTAGCTCAACTGTACTGTACAACAAACAAGCATTACCACATTACTGCATATATGAAGTGTGGCTTAGGGGGTGTAACCCCATATATAAATATTTTGGGAGGTCACTATACTTTCCCCACTGTACAAAAGTTCATGTAGCTTATACAACATAAATTATGGATACAACTTGCCCAACGCCAATAATGCTTTGTAAAGCAGGTACTTTAAAACATGTATTTACAACTTATATATTCAAAGCTTTTTTCACTGCAAATACTATATCCTTCACTTGAGGTATGCAGTTATCCTCTAAGATCTTTGCGTAAGGCATAGGGACATCGGCACCGGTAACACGCACAGCTGGAGCATCCAAGTAGTTAAAGGCAGGTCCTGCAACAGAAGACAGTGTCAGGTTGCCATGTAATGTGGTTTTCTCTTGATTTTTGGATTTCATTCTGTTAAAAGTTTTGTTCCTGTAGCTCTAATATTCCAGAGAGTGCTGTTCCTGCTTGTTTATCTTCATTCACTATGGTTTTTGCACCCACCCTGTAAAAATCTCTAGAGAAAGACAGCCAGGCTCCAGCTCCTCAGATGTAACCCCTAACTCTGCCTTTGCCAGGCTTTATCAAGAGTAGGGATTGAGATCAAGACACGAACTGCAAAACTTGGTACCTTCCATGATCCTGGCACAGATTTCCGCTCCTACTCCAAACTGGGGCCAACCTCCTTCTACAGTGACGAGATGGTTTGTCTTTACCACGCTGGCTTCCACTGTTTCGATATCCATTGGTCGAATGGTTCTCAGGTTTATAACCTGGGGGGAAAAGGGATGAGAGCTTTGCTGTGACCTGAGCCCGTCAGTCACCACTGTTTGACAAATATAAGCAGCTTATAGTTAATACACTGAAGTTTTGCAGAGCCTGCGTGAGAAGACACCCCCCCTTGAGAGAAAGAGAATGACAACAGAAATCCCACTCACCTCACACTCTACACCTTCTTTAGCAAGTACAGTAGCTGCTTCCAAACAATGGCCAACAGGTCTTGAGTGTGACACTAATGTAACATGAGTTCCTAGAAGAGACACAAGTGTTAAAATAGACAAAAAACCCTTAAGATTTTAAGTTTTTTTCCCTAGACTTCAGGCTCCTTTCAAGTTAACATTAAGATTCTCTTGTAAATTTAAGTTCCTTATGTTTATTTGAAATGCTGAGCCCAGACATAGCAGGAAGAGAGGAAGACCTGTCCTAAGACACAAATGTTACTCTTGAATTCAGGGAACTAAAGAGGTATTCAATATAATTACCAAGTTATCCTTTTCAAACATTCATATAATTCAGTGGTAAATTATGAACAAGTGGGGTGAAACACTACAGTGACCCCTTTTTTGCATTTTTGACAAAAATTATATACTTAGGTGAGGAAAAGAAGTGTTTCAGCCATCACCTACTTTATCTCTACACTGTGGAACAAATCCTGTAGAAGGATATTGTTTTAATTGAGATCTGGATAATCAGGTGATGTTTCCCTAAAAGAGCAACAGAACATGAAACCATACTACTGGATAAAAGAACATTTGAACACTTGAAATTTGAAATACTTTTCTGTGCCCTGTGACAGCATTACCCTGAATAGCTGAGGTTAAAAGAAGTCCCCAACTAAGTCAGTTAATAAAGAAACAAAAATATTCTCATCTTACCTTGCCTTTCTATCTTAGCTTTTCCAATTGGAATAACAAATTCCTTTGACTGTGCCTGTTCAGACATTTCAAAGGGAACACCATATAGTAATTCATTTTCCAGCATCACAACTAGAAGAAAACATACTTGGATTAACGTGTATGTCTGCAGGCACAGGGCTGCACTCACCATCAGCAGTCCTGCAGCAGTTCAATACACTAAACCCATCCAGGCAACAAGGGAGTGAGGAACATGTTTGCAGACACAATTAAAAAAAAAAACCCTAAATCAGAGTCTTTACTTCAATGCTGAAGCATTTGAAAAGCTGTCTACAACTAGTCTGAAAGGAGATCATGTAGTTTACTTTCAGTACACGATATGATCACCTTTCTGAAAGGTCTCCCACTTTTCATTCACATTTGTGAAAAATAAAGACAAAGGTTGCCCTGCTTTCAATAAATGACATTTTGAATTTATCACTTGAATTTCACGATCTGTAAAAATGAGTTACTTTGGCGCACTGTATATGCAGGAAGACCTCCTGACTTGTCTTCATCCTTTTTAATCCCTTTATGATAGATTTATAAATGCTTCCAGGTTTTCTGGTTGAAACCAAACTCACACTAAAGCGGTGTACCTGGGCAACAGCACAAAATCAGTCTGCTGTTAGCAAGGCAGGGGACTGTTAGGATAAGCCCTTCTGTCTCTGTAAGTACCTTAAAGCTGCAGTAAAGAAAACCTGAGTGCTTTAGGGTTTAATGACTTTTTTGCAATATCTTTTAAATGGAGCAGGAGGGGAAAACAGCCATTCCTTAGGACTGAGCGCCGAGTATTGCTGCGATCTGCCCGTGCTCACCTGGATTGTCATCCCGGATGGATGCTTTCAGCAGACCCTTGGCATCCTCTGCACTCCAGGGACTGACGACCTTGAGGCCGGGGCAGTGGCCGTACCAAGCTGCAAAGCACTGGGAGTGCTGGGCGGCCACTCCGGCCGACGCTCCGTTGGGGCCCCGGAACACGATGGGAACGCCGATGGACCCCGCAGACATGTAACAGGTCTTGGCAGCAGAGTTTATCACCTGGTCGATGGCTTGCATGGAGAAGTTGAACGTCATGAATTCACACACCGGTCTCAACCCTGCCTGTTAAATACGTTAAAACGTGTTAGCGTGTTTTTACCTAAAAACAGTTTAATTTTTAAAAGCCAGAAGAGGAAGAATGCAGATGTACAAACCATAGCAGCTCCGACAGCGATTCCTGCGAAGCCCATCTGAAAAAGAAGGAAACCAAGGGGTAAGGAGCAGGGAGCAGCTGATGGAGGGATCACCGGGGTTGCAGACAGGGCAGCCTCACCTCGGATATCGGGGTGTCGATCACTCTCTTGTCCCCATACTTCTTCCAGAGGCCCCTGGAGATCTGCAGGGCAGGAGACAGGAGTCACGGCCTGCCTTAGGCCCTTTCCCGGCCCGCCAACGGCCTCCACAAACCTTGTAGGCGCCATCGTACTGAGCCACCTCCTCGCCCAGCAGGAAGACGCGCTCGTCCCGCTCCAGCTCCTCATCCAGCGCCTGGTTCAGCGCGTCCCGCACCGTCACCTGAGAGACAGCGGCAGCCGGGCTGGGCGGGGGCACGGCCGCGCTCCCCGCCCGCCGGGAACCCCTCAGCCCGGGGGCGAAGTCATCACGCCCCCCGCCCCGGGACCGGACCCTGCCCTGCCCTGAGGGGCGCGAGCCCCTCCCCGGGGACAGTCCTCCCCGCTACCTGTATGGCGGCAGGCGCGGAGGTGCGGAAGCCCCTGCGCTGCTGCAGGGGCTGCAGGGGTGCGGGCAGCATCGCCCCAGCGCGGCCCCGCGGGGCGAGGCGGGCGCTCCTGCCCAGGAGCCGCAGAGCCGCCGCTGCCGCCGCCATCTTGCCCGTGTCCTCTCGCCCTGCGCCCGCCGGGCCCCGCCTCCCGCGCGCGCTATCGCGAGAGCGCCCCGGCGCGCGCGAAAAGGGCCGAGCGGGGCGCGCGGTCTTTCGGCGCCACTTCCGGCCCCGGGGGCCGCGCGGGGGGGGGCGGGGACCTTCCCCCCACCCCGCGGGGACGCGCACGGCGCGCGCGCCCGAGTGCCCCCCGCGCGCGGCCCCGGCCGGGCCCTCAGGGCCCCTCCCGCGCGGACACCGCGGGGACACCGCCCCGGGGCGGCGGGGACAGCGGGGACAGCGGGGACAGCGAGGAGCCCGCCCCGCCCCATCACACACCGACAGGCGGGGCGGGGCTCGCCAGGACACTCCCCCGCCAAGCCGTCCCCGCCCGTGCCGGCGGCTCCGCTCCGGGCTCGGGCTCAGTCCCTGTCGCCGCTGCCGCCGCCGGGCTCCGCCTCAGCGCCGGGAGCTGCGCCCGTGAGTGCCGGGCCGGGCGGGGGCGCGGGGTTCGGGGTGCCCCGGCTCGGGGGAGCAGCGGGGCCCTGCGGGGCGGGAGCGCTGGAGCGGGACGGGCGCGTCCCGGGGCGGGTGCGGGGCAGGTACGGAGCCGGGCCCCCAGGGCTCCCTCGGGCCGGGAACGGGGAGAAGGGGACGCGGTGCTCGGGCGGGGCTGGGACAGGTGCTGCCCGGTCCCGTTCGCGGCTGGGCTGAGGGCGGAGCCGGGGGATGCCCCGGCGGGAGCCGCGGTACCCGGCGGGGATCTCTGGTGAGGATGGTCCGGGATCCGTGGGCTTTGCTCCGGGCAGGGAGGGCAGTGGGTCCTCCTGCGCCACGGGGAGAGGAGGTAGGGCTAGGGCTCTGTTTTGGGATGGGGATGAGGCCGTGGGTTCTTGGGTCACTTGCGGGAGGGAGAAGTGAAATGTCTGGGTTCATTTCCAGCGTCTTTGCTGAATCACTCTGATCCTGGAGAGAGTTCTGCTACCATGACCTCGCTGCTTCCTCTGTGATGGGAACGGGCACTTCCCGGCTCCTGCTGCAGCCCTGGGCCCCTCTCTGGGCTCTCAGGGTTTTCTTCCCCGTGTTGCTGTCCGTGTGTGTGCTGAGCCCCATCGGTGTGTGCTGGGAGGGTCGGTGTTTCTTACACCTGTCCTCCTCCAAAACTGCTTGGAGACGTGTTTTCACATGGGAACAACACCAATTAGTGTCACAGAAGCAAAATATGTGGGTAAAATTATTGTCCCAGGTCCTGGAAGCTTGGGTGCTTTGGCTTACTTCAGCAGGACCAGACTTGATATAAGAGTCTTCCTTGGCTCTCTGAGAGGAGGGCCAAAGTTGTACTGGGATGTGGGCTCTTCAACAAGAAGCAATTAAAAGGAAAGTTTGGAATCTGGTCTTGAAACAGGATGTCATGGAGCTCCTTGGGGGAGGGAAGGAAACTTCAGGAGCTTGGAATTTATAGTGAAGCAATTAAACATAAAAGAGTGAAGATGCTGAGTGGCTGGTGTGAGCGTTTTTCCGTCCTGCCTGAGGTGCAAGCTGAGTATTAGTAAAAAACAACTCAAGAAAATCAAGTTAAAATTTAATAAACTGCATTAGTCATTATAAACCTGCCAGGTGTAGAAGGTGGTAGATGTTTGCTTTAGTGAAGCTGATCTGCTGAATTGCCAGAAGATTTGGGTAACTGGTTGTTTTGAGAGCTCTCCTTCTTACTCCCCTGGTTAACAGGGTGGCACAGAACTGGAGCTCAGCGGTTGCTCTGCAGACCGTTGTCTTGCTGTGGTTTGGTGGAGTACAGTCAGTGCTTCTGCTGCTCAGTGTTTGTCAGTTCAGGTGAGTCACCAATAATTTACAGTAGAACTTGCCTTTCAAATGTTCTGACTGGCTTGGGAACAGAGAGGTTGTCCATGTACAGCATAACTCTGCTAGGGCTGGAGTTTCTTCTCATCTTTGGAGACCTAAGTCTGAGAGGCAGGGAACTCAAGAAGGGGTGAGTAAATGAAATGCCAGGTGTGTGTGTCTGTATAAGTGGAGTCTTAGCTTGCTCTTTTTTAAGCTGCCATAGGTAGAATTCCTTCTAGCTCTATATTGACCTAGAAATCAAAGGTAGCTCTTGAGGTTAAAGAGCTCATGCTGCAATAGTGATACCAAACTGCTCATGAAAGTCTATTGCCACAAATAAACCTCTTAATTTTTTTGTTGGAAAAAACAAAGAACATTCAGAGCAATTCAGGTGGTCTGTGCCTTTTGACTTAAAACTGCTGGGCGTATTTCTGCTCCTCCTTTGAGTAACTGTGTGTGCCATCAGTGCAGGGGTTTGTAGCCTGTGGCCTCAACCTGATGCAGCGTCTGTAGTCTCAGCAGTGCAAGTGCCTGCAGTGCTGCTGGCATCCCATGGCCTGGCCTGAGCCCATGTGTGTGTTCACAGATGCAGACATTCACCTTACTCTTTCTTGCTTTCTCTGAATTTCAGCTTGCAGAGTGGTTGTGGGGTAGCAGCTGTCTTTTGGGAGAAGCCCTGCTGAAGTTAGTGGCACTACCTGTTGCAGCAGCGCTGCTGATAAACAGCCCTGTAATCCTCTGAGTCATAATGCGTGAAGTGAGAGCGAGCATTTTATAAATGCAGGTACCCAGTTTGGTGGGTTGAGTATAAAACGATGACCTAAATGCTTTTGCTGCTTCTCACTGTGCCTTTCCAGTTTTGGCTGTGCATGTGCTGGGCTGTGGCAGGAGCCACAGTGACCGTGTCACTGCTGTGCGTCTCCTCCCTGTGCACAGAACAGCGCAACGACAGCGGGACTGTGGCTTGACACCACCCGGGCACTTCTGCTCCCACCAAAGAGGGACATCCCGTTTGACTTAAACAGTGTCAGCACTTTGTCTGAATTTCATCTTAAATGAGTATTTCTTGTGGTTATCGAAGGTAGGCTGATGGTTATCAAAGGATGTCATCTGTTACCTGCTGCCTGGGCAGGAGTAGCTGTGCTGGTGAGGCTGGCCCTGTTTGCGGATTGTTGTTGTGTGAGAGGGACCGGAGCTGGCTCGAGGCTGCCTGTCCTGGGCTATGATTGGAATGTCTGCCCATCCCCACTGATGATCACTGTATTCCATTCAGGAGATTTTAAAGCATCCTCGAAAAGGCATATGTCATGAAGGGTTGTACATCCTCAACCTCGCTAGTCCTTGAGTCAGGTTGTACCCAAACTGAGCTACTTTAGCCTATGAAATTGTCCAGAAATTCAGAGCCCCCAGGCCGATGAGGGCAGCAGCGGATAGTTGGGATCACACTCAGGTATAATTTTAGGGTGGCCTCCCGGTGTCTTCCCTTCGTGTTGCACATCTTGCTCCAGCACTGGTTTGCCAGGGAGGTTTGTGTGTGCCTCGTGGTTCTGGGGCCTTACACAAAAGTCAGTGAGATTTCTCGATTCCACTTCTGTGTTGAGGGCTGGGCTTGTTTCAGATAATTGCTCTCGTGAATTATTCACTCTGGTGTTACACAGCAGTGCTGCGATCAAAGATTAGTTCATGCCTTTGCACAGGCATGCAGTGTCATCTCTTTTTCTCCCTTGTAAAGTCTCGATTCATCTGTAGTGTGGACTTAAACGCTGACCAAAATAACATCATATCCACCAGTTAAAATCACACTGATGGACATCTCTCTGTCTTTGAAATATTCTGAATGTGTAATTCCAGTTAATTTTATTAAGACTGCAGATCTGTTCTGCCATGATTACTAGTGAGGTTTCTGTCTGTCTGCATCATTTCACTTTCAAGTGAGTGTCTTTCTTGAATATCAGAAACCTGTACCAGTCTCATATGATTTTAATGCATCTGCATATTCTCCTGGTCCTGTACTTGATCAGAATAACACCTTCAAGTGCTGGAATTTAAAAGGCCTGGGCTGTTGATAAAAGTTAATGAGTGACAATTCCAAATAAAGAAAACCTGAATGGGTTCAATTCTTGACTTGTGAGCATTTAAAAAAATTAGTTACAGAGGTTGGCAAACGAGCGTTCCAGGTTTATCTGCTGTCAGGGATTGTGCTTTAATGTACTTTCTTGAAGCATACTCTGTCTCTAATTTGTAAAAATAGGATCCTGGTATGACTAGTTCTGTATCTTAGTATTCCTTAGTCTTCTGTTGTCTGGTCTCATAATTTTCATATACTGATTTTGCTTTTTTACTCTTTAATCTGTCTGAGAGGCAGCTGGGGCTGTGCTTGTGCTGCTGGCACAGGAAGACCTGACCTGCTGGACACTGTTGTGCCCAGTCTGTGGGGGAGGGAAGGGCAGGAAAGCAGACCCCAGAGAGGTGGGATATGCTGCCTGGTTCTGTGTTGAATGAGACCAACCTTATTTGCAAGGAAAGAGAAGGGCAGGTTATCCTTTTGGCTGGGAATTAACTGTGGCAGTTGTTTTGGCATGGGGGGCTCTGGCTTGGCTAAATCTTTATCTGCCTTTAGCTGAGTGACTGTTGAAGTTTGTTAGTAAAGAGGATGGGAGCAGGAGACTTGGGAACTGTGTGGTCTTTAAGATGTAAAAATAAACAAAGCTGAGAAGCTGTACCCTACTTAAAACAGGCTGACCTAAATTTTCAGCAATTCTAGCAGAGAGGCAGGCTCTGGGTAGGGATAAAGGCTTACTGACAACTGGCTTCCTTGCATTGCTTGACATGGTTGACAGGCCACCATTGGAAAATCAACACTGGGGTCTGAGGTCATTCACTTCCCCCCCTCCCCGAGTTGCACAACCCTCGCTGTGGATTTGCCTTGTGCTCTTGTGGACAGTCCCCTTGTTATGCAAGTCAACAGTTCAGCATCGTCTGGGAAGTCACGGCAGGAACGTCTTCTCAAATTGCTTTTGTTGGAGTGCGTTGAAAACATGTTTGGTGTCCTGGCTTGTCCCTACAGAGATTGCTTTCAAGAGTAGGTGTCTGGGAAGTCCATTCATACTCTTTGTCTGTAGATTAATGTTCTTCCTATCAGTTACAGTTCTCCACTGCTGAATTATTAATTCTGCAGTGAGAGTTTTTTTCTTCTTACTGTTCATTGACTTTCATGCTTGATTTATTCTTCTGAGCAGTTTGAAACTGGAGCATGGGAATGTTGACTAATAGTAAGGGATCACATGTGTGACCTCACTGGTGGCTGAGTGGGAAAATGACATCTGTCTTTCAAAGTACTCAGAGTTTCCCAGGTGAAAGGTAGTTTGTGAACATGTGTTATCCTCAGAGGCACATTGCTTGTTATTCAACAAAACTGGGATGTTCAGGCAGCCACTGGAGTGATCACCCGTGTGCTCCGGAGGCAGTCCTGTGGGTAGCATGAAGGGAGAAGGAGGGAAAAACAGGTTTGCAAATTCTCCTGCTAATGTGGCTTTGTGGCTGTCCTGGCAGAGAGCCTACCTTTGATTGGAAAGCATTCCCCTTGGTTTTCTTGTAGGTACTGATGGTCTGCCATGTTTTGTTCTCTGTTTGTGTGTGCTTTTTCCTGCAGGGAGATAAGAGGAGGTGAATCGCGTATCCTTTCAGAAGCCTTCTGTTAAACTTGGAATACCACAGTTCAAGCAATTGAACAGATGGATAATGGAGACTGGGGATATATGGTGAGTGAGCCTGTGCAAGTGTGTGCTGTGTGGTACAACTGGGCTTTTGAGGTCCTGCAGCAAGAATCCTTCCAGATCTGTCTTGTGTAGCTCCGGTCATGTGAGAAGGAAAACTGTGCATGTTACACCAGCTTTACAACAGCTTACTTACCTTCTCTGGAGAGCTGCACCTTGCCTGCAGCTTGTGGGGAGCACCCAGGTTCATGTTTCAAAGGGACAACCAGCCAGGACTGAACTGGGGCTCACTGTTACTGATTTCTTAACACAAAGGCTGAAAATAGTTTGTGCTTCCTGCATATAATTTTAAGGATTTTGTAATTTTATTTATAAAGAAAAGTATTTTTCCTCGTAAACCTTGTCACAAACTAGACAAACACATCTTATTTTTCTTCCCTTCTCATTCTGCTGCCATGCATATGTCTCTTTTCTCTGGCTGGCCACAGTCCTGGTTGTTAAAGTTGGTGGCCAGATGGGATTTATGTTCCTTTCTCTCTTGCTTCCTCATGAGCTATCTGGAAGCTGATGCAGACGGGTTTGTGCTCTGCCCCCCTCTTCTGTGCAGCATGCTAATTTGTTAATAAATACTTATTTTTAGAGTTAAAAGCTGAAAGTTCTTTTTTTTCTTTGCTTGTTTTAATGATGCCTCTGAACCAGGGCATGGATTATTTTGATTGTGAGCTCTTGGTCCTATGTCTCAAGTTGCACTGTCTTCCTCTTCTGAGGGAGAAAAAGAGGCTTAAGACTTGTTTGGTTGATTTTTTTTTCTCTCCTTTTTTTTTTTTTTTTTTTTTTTTTTTTGGTTTTGTTCTGGAATGAGAGACAGATTGTGAAAGTAAGGAACGCTGCTGGGCCTCATTCAGACTAACTTGTTCGTCAGGAAACCTCTCTGTTCTCATTTCCCCATCTGTAGAATAGGAAAAAACTTGTTGCCCAAATGCAAAACTTGCTTCTCTGACAGTAGCTCAGTTGTTCAGATTTCTAAAGCATTCTGGAAATGTGCGTTCTGCATGTTAAGTATCATCCTGTTTCGTTGCCAGTTGTGCCTTGTTGCCAGGTGGCTTGGATTTGTTCAGGTTTAAACACCCGTTAAAAGCTTTGAGCGGGAGGAGTTTCTTTCCCAGTTTTCCAACAGTATTTGCCATGTGTGTCAGCGAGGTGATCGAATCTTGTGTGGTGGCTTGATAAACTCTGCAATTTCTCTCTTTCTAGATGACTGATCCAGTCACGCTAAATGTGGGTGGACACATGTATACGACCTCCCTCACAACTCTAACGAGATATCCTGACTCAATGCTCGGGGCCATGTTCAGGGGAGACTTCCCCACTGCCAGGGACTCTCAGGGCAATTACTTTATTGACAGAGATGGACCACTTTTCCGTTATGTTCTTAACTTTTTAAGGACCTCAGAGCTCACTTTGCCACTGGACTTCAAGGAGTTCGACCTCCTCCGGAAGGAAGCGGACTTCTATCAGATTGAGCCGCTAATTCAGTGTCTTAATGACCCCAAGCCACTGTATCCTGTGGATACCTTTGAGGAGGTGGTGGAGCTGTCCAGCACCCGGAAGCTTTCCAAGTACTCCAACCCAGTGGCCGTCATCATCACACAGCTCACGATCACGACGAAAGTCCACGCGCTACTGGAGGGCATTTCAAACCACTTCACGAAGTGGAACAAGCACATGATGGACACCAGGGACTGCCAGGTTTCCTTCACTTTTGGGCCATGCGACTACCACCAGGAAGTGTCACTCCGAGTCCATCTGATGGAGTACATCACAAAGCAAGGCTTCACGATCAGGAACACCAGAGTTCATCACATGAGCGAGCGTGCCAATGAAAACACAGTGGAGCATAACTGGACTTTCTGTAGACTGGCGCGGAAAACAGATGACTGATTCTGACTCCACAGGAGCCACTTCAGTGATTAGCAACTTAATTGGACAGTAAACCCAAGAGAGTCTGGATTTTGACTAAAGCAACAATGTGGGCTTTTTTTATACGACTATTTATTGTTTATCAGTAAGGACTGGAGGAGTTTCGTTCTCTAGCAGCTCTGTTCTTTTGTCCTGATCAGAAAAAAACCGTGCATGTGCCTGTTCAGTCAAGACACCTTTTTGTTTGAAAGAGGGAGTCCGAGGAATTAGTACAATAGGGTATTTTGTGTCATTAACACAATTCTCTGACTCGACTCAAAGTGCTAAAATTACCTCTGTTTAAATGGTTTCTAATCTATCTAATGCTATGACACTGGGAGCAAGAAACAAAAAGAATTTAAAATGCAGTTGAGGAGAAGCTGCTATTGTGTAGACTAATTTAGTTTCTAAATCAATAAACAGTATTGTAATATTCTAGGAAAACAAATCCCACCCTTTAAAAGTACTTGATAAGTACAGTTTCTTACAGTTATGACAACTGTTTCTTTCTATGCATATAAATCAAGCAACCAAATATTATCTGTAGCCATGGAAATATGATTAGAAATATTTATATTGGATTCTAAATGCAAAATGTCCCTGTGGTAGAATTCATATTTTTAATGCCTGGTGCAATATTATTCCCAAGTGTAATGCCTGCCAGCAAGAAGCTAATAAAAATGTGAAATACAGAATACTGTTTTGTACTTTCTTTTTGTCTTTTAGAACTCTCATACTTAAAAAAACAAACCAAACCAAATGAAGAAAACACATCCAAACCCCGTTTTTCTGTGCTGCAGAGTTGGGTGCTCTGGTAGGGCCCCATTTTCCTCAGTTAATGATATAATTTGTTCCTTTCTCTGTTAATCAGTTGAGTCAAATGTCTTCATTATAGACAAAGCTTGTGTTCTGAAAACTGCTTTAGACTGATGGAAGGATGGCAGGTATTTGGACTGGCTAAAGGGATAGGGATGAAGGGAACACAGAGCCTCAATACTGTAGCTGGTAAATAGTATTATCTAGTTCATCAGGACTATATCTAATAACTTTATATATATAATTTTAACTGCAGAGTGCTGTTTCTGGTGACACTCAAGTTCTGTGGCTTTACTCCATTTCACATCAACATTTCTGCTTATCCTGGGCACTTGGTCACAGTTATGAATAGAATTTCTGGTTATGCTCTAACTTGAATGCTGTTGGGAGTAAGAGAGTTGATACCTGTTTTGTGGAGTGGATCTTGTTCTCCCATGAAGTTCTTGTCACAAGTAGGTGGGAACTTTCCATTCCATCTCTCGCTCTAAAGGCCTGTCTCAGGGGTGTATTTGTCTATCATATTTTGTCTCTCCCTGTTTATACATTGCAGGTTTTTGACTTATAAAAGGCAGCGGCAAGAGCTTTATATTTCCTATCAGGGAGGGAAGAGAAGCAGAACTGATGAAGCTCAGGAGAAGTGGTGGTTTCTTTCTTGCCACACGTGGTAAGAAATATCTGTGTTAACTGGCATTGAATTATAATCACAAGATGTACTTTGCAACACTTCATTTACTAGCAAATTAATGACTGGCCTGGATCAGCCTGCCCTTTCCATAATTATGAAGTATAATAATTAGATAAGCAGTATTCCAAATAATACACTTTATTGGAGACCAAGATTTATAGAAAGACAGTATGAGCAGCCCTATTAATGGGAAGGTAAATTCTGCAGACTGAAGCTGGCATCAGCTTTGTCTGAATCTTCATTAGGCAGGAATATTCCACTGCTGAGCAAGTCAAGAGCTACTTTAATTGTCTAAACAGATGTAGTTTCTAATACACTTTTTGATTGAAGAGAACAAGTTGTTCTTAGAAACCAAGGATCATAATTTTACCTTCACTGGATTTTTCAGTACAGTTGGTTGTTTTGGGTTTTTTTTGAAGGCACTGTATAGTTCCAACACCCTGAGAGGGGGTTCATAATGTGGTGGTGGGGTTTTTTTTCTTCCTTAATCCTCATATAGTGGATTTAGAAAAAGAATAAAGAAACTGTTTGTTTTGATGCTGTCAGGACACTTCAGGTTAGAAAACAGTGCACCCTGGACCATTCCTGGACTGTCTCATCGCAGCGGGTACCACTCAGTGCTGCTTGGCACCTGTCTAATTGCAAATGGCTCGCTGAGTATCTTTCCTACTTGTTGTAACTGCAAGTAAGCAACTGATTATTAATTCTGATTAGTCATTACTGATGCTTCATAAATGTACTGCTGCACAAAGAACAGGAGGAAACGTGTGTCCTTCACTTGGAACACGTTCTTTATAATTTCGATAGTGTGTTGTGAAGAAGTGGCTTCAAATACCTCTCGTAGGCTGGGCTCATCTGTTCAGAAAGAGAATGTGGAAGGGAATTAATGGCAATTAAGAACGGAAAGCCTATAATTTTTTTCTTAGGAACAATCTCTGAAATAGAGAAAGCTAGACTATTAAAAAAAAAAAAAGAAAACAACAAACCACCAGCTATTTCAACTATGTGCAAGATCTTGTTCCCTATAGTATTTGCTGTCCTTCATAACCAGCATACAACTCATTCCAAATGGGACAGCATACTGTTTAACATCAAAAAATATGCTTGGACTTGAATGTTTGCTGAAGGCAAATTTTGTGTTCAGCCGTAGGATTTCAAAGAGCTGCTGATTACCACAGTAAAAACCTCACTCAGGGCAAAATGAGTTTTCAAACAGAGCAATGCATATTTACATCATGCAGAATTTTACATTACTCCACAGTATAGATGAATTAAGAAGAGAAAGTAAAGTTCTAAAGACCATGAAGGATGAAATTGCCTTGTTTAACATTTATACTCACTCTGGTTAAACATATTATTAAAAAACTCAAGTTTTGCACTGGTATCAGTGCACATAAAATACTCTGCATTTAGTGTTGTTTCATAATACGTAAACCAGACTTATTTTAGCTTATTTTGTACAATGTAACCTCAGTGATACAAATTTAAAACCCAAAACCGCATGGGTGGCACATGACAGCCCAGCTCCCTGGCACAGGCTCTAGTACTCTGCAGGCTCTAACTCATTTCTAGGTTAAATGTCTGAGCTCAGACTATGGGTGGCATGATTGGAGCGTCACAGGTCACTGTTCAGAGTGAGGAATTAAAAGCTGATGTCTTTTATCTGTGTTACTTTTATTAGAAGGAAGGCAAACGTTTTTCTGCCCTGGCTAAGGGGGAAGTTGTCTGGCTGTAACCTGCCCATACCTTGTTGGTGGGGGACTTCTGAGCCCACTCATAAAGCCGCTGATAAGCCTGCCCGTCGTAACTGCCCAGCGCGGAGTTCAGGCTCTTGTCTGTGAAGTCAAAGGCATCCACCAGAGGAACGGCATCCTTCCTACGGAGCAGAGAAGTAACATTTGTGTTACTGAAGCAGCTATTCCTTTGTAAGGTGGGAAGATAAATCAAAGATAAACTTGGAAGTCAGTTGTCCAGCTTCATCAGCCTAGAAGGTCTGTGCCAGTTTTCCTCCTTGTCTATACTGGGGGGAAAAGCCTGCTTGTCTTGATTCCTCAGAGGCATCTCTAGCTGACCCTGCCTTGGCAGGGGAGTTGAACTAGATGATCTCCAGAGGTCCCTTCCAACCCCAACAATTCTGAAAAGCCTTGCTCTTTGGCTCAGCCCCATTCAGCCCTTGCTTGTGGTGTGTTCGTGTTTCTCTCCAGGTGGCTTAAGTAGAATTTTACATAAAACTCACTTCTCTGCACCTTAATCTGTTCTAAATAAACAGCACTGAGTAGTGAAAGAGGAATGCTTTGTCAAAAGGCCTTTGTGAGTGTTGTGGTAAGTGAAAACCTTAACATAACTCAGAGTTCACAGAGTTAGTGACAAATGGTGTCGAGCAGATGCATCTGAAGTAGCTGTAGGCAGGATTGTTTGGGTACCAGTTGCAGCTCAGCCATGGCAACAGAGTGGGCTGTATTAGCTGCAGCTTGAGCAGACTCTGCAGTGTGTGATGGGTTGCTGTGGCTGCCTCCTGCCAGTGCTGCTCTGACTATGTATTTTCCTGTTTTCGCTCTACTGAAAATGGTATAAAGTGCTCAGGACTTCATTTATAATTTAAGATTTCGTGTTACAGAACTTTTCAGAGATTGCAGAGGAGCTGGACACTTGTCATGGTCTGTTTAACCATGAAAACAAGCTCTGTGTAGATGTTTCAATCAATTTATAGTGCTGCCGGGCAATGAAAATAAAAACTGAATGAGGTGAATTGACTGTGGAGATGTTGCCATAGGTACAGTAGCACCATTTTATATCTATTACAGGGACAAACTGAGTAGCTGTGTGTCTCCTGCTGGAGCAGCTCACCGAATGACAGCCAGGAGGTCCAGGTAGGATGCTGTGACCATGTCCATCTGAGCTGCAGATACATATCCATCATGCAAGAAGGCCCCTGTATTTGAGAAGATCCCGTGTAGTGCAAAGAGGTCACAGAGATGTTTCATAATCCTCTGGATGCCAGCCTTGGTCTCGAGTTTTGCCACAGTTTCTGCAAAGTTTTTCACTGTGATGTAGTGGCAGTGAGCCTGGAAAACAAATGCAATCAGCAGTGAATGCACCTCAAAACACTCTTAGTAGGCCAAGTGACTCAAATGTTCTTGCAAAGAATATAAAACCTTTTCATTTCCCTGGCATTTCTCCAGTCTGTATCCTTTGTTTGCTGGGTGACCAGGCCTTTTGCATTCATGTCTTACAGCGACAGCAGACAGAATTAGTAAACAGTCAACACTGTGGTATTTGTAAACTCTAGAAAACTGCTTCAGAAATCATGTTATTACCTACTCTGAATATTTCTGATTAATATCCCACAGAGTTTGTGTGAAGGAAACACATTGGAATGTGCTTGTGTTGACCCCTAGCAAGTGAATCTTGATTGTACATCAACAGAAGAAAACTCTTTAGTTGAAGACCTCGGGCTCAGTTTACTTTGGGATCAGTGTCTACAGGGCTTTGGCTCTGGAAACACCGTTGTCACAGAAGAACAACCAAACTTACCTCCCGCTTTTCTGGTTTTAAGAAAAACTGGTAATTTCTGGGTCAGAGACCAGTAGAGTCCCTGACTGCCAAATTACATAAATATTAGCTGAGGTCCAGAGCTAATGAAGCAGGTTGACCCCACCTGTCTGTGGGGTGACTCTTGCTATGCTGACACTGCTGCGGGTGGCGTTGGGATCTGTGTGGCTCCACTCCCCCACTGCACAGTTCTCCTCCCAGCTGTGGGTGTAAGCATGGCACACCTGCACTGAAGCTCTTCCTGCTGGCACGGCGGAGCAGCATGGACTGCAGAACCTGCCTGAGAAGCCGAGTGTCTACTCAAGCAATTAACGTGTGGGGAGTCTGCCCAGTGTCTGAGCTACTCAGCTGGGAGCTGGCAGGCATCAGTTCGTAGAGCTGCTATGCCAGTCGTGTGGGTGAGTCTCCAGGAAAAGTGTGGGATAAGAAGTAAATACAGAAGTGCCCCAGGAAGGCAGCAGTATATCAAGATTTTAAAGTTATGGGGCAAACTCAAGGGTTTTGGGTGACTCTTCCTGTCCATGAATTATTTAAGAAACTTTGGGGGCCCAGATCTCATTTTCTGAAGAGTCTAGCAGCACAGTCACCACTGACAGTACCACAGCCAGCCCTCTGCATATGTTAGGCTCTTCAGAAATGGTT